GGAAATTTTGACAAACAAGATGGGTAGATCCCGAAATACGGAATTTCTCGAGCCCCAGAGTTATTGTACCCATGTCTGGAAGAAAAGAGGCATTAGAAACATCTAACATATAAAAACCTTCCTGTAAAGTTGAATAAAATCCATATACCGTAGAAAAATGTTCCAGTTGAACGATTTTAGAGTTTTTGTTGAATTATTGTTCATTTATCATCCCCAAGTGAAATCACATTATTAAAAAAAATAGTTTTACAAGTTATATAGAGGTTCTGTATTCATTATGGATTTTCAACAATTGTGTTCATACTTCAAGGAGGTAATTTAATGATTCTCATTAACATGGAATGCGCAAGAGAAACAGCAACAATATTCAATGAGTTGAACGTTAAAGCAGCTTTCAAAACTTCTTGCTAAATTCAACCAGTGTACAGTAATCTCGAAGACAAGATGTGGGAGGATAAAAAGTCGGGGATGTATGAATCAAGATGTAGGGACTGTGACAAAAATATATCGGTCAGACCAAGCGATTTATTGAAGGTCGTTTCAAAGAACACATAGCACCTATCCGATATCGAAGACCATTAAATATAGATTTAATGTATGAAGAAAATGATAAAATATAATATAATAGTTAATAAAAATTGACAAATATTTATAATCATTGATTTATCGATAGTTCATCAACTATATATGGCGCGTTTTCGACCGGAGGCACCGGTTGACCTGAAGTGATGCTGTGACCGCGCGCTCTCCGCCCTCTATCTCGAAAACGGTTCACCGTATAAAAATTTTTTTTTACAAAATTTGTAGAGAATTTTGTATCCTACAATATTGATAATAAATACAAATAGCAAAAAACACATAGGAAATGAGATATTTCCAAAAAAAGCGCAAAAAACCGATTTTTGTGACCTTTGACCTTGAAATTTAATAGTTGCTTATACCCTACCATATGTAGGTTTTGAGACAACTTTTAGGGTGTCAATATACAAGTATTTACAGACTTACAGCTGGGTATCTCGAATTCCGAGGTGAACTCACTATAATGACTGGACTATAGCACCAGATTCACTGTCTCTATGATAGGTGTTTGTAGAGAACTTCAGCTAGAAGTTTTTCGGAATCTTGAAGAGGACTTTGAGAGAAGAATTGAATGAGATATATTACTTTTTGATAATATTTTTGAGAATGTACCTGAACGGCTTTTGAAATGAGGTGAATTAGCCTACTAAATTTCTCCCTCGAAATGATTTCATGGTATTTTTGTATATTTTTAGGTTTTCTTTAGGGGCCGGAGTATATAGTGTATATCATTCTGTATCCTGTTTCTCCCTAATCGATTCATTTGATAATAATTTCGATTTCTTAATGATCTTGCACATAAAACACTCATTATATCTGATGGGACGTTTCTTCAAACGGTAATAGAGAGTTAATCACTGAACTGATAGTTTGACATTTCCTTAGGAATTTTAACTAATCAACAACAAAAAAACAGATATCGAAGTACCTCGTTTCAAAGCATAATTTAGGAAAATTCGACAATCGATGAATGCTTACTTCGTCACGTAGGTTTATAGATTATGAGAGTTCATCGTAAGTGGAAGTTGATAATGAAGATCAACTATAGCTAAAAACCCATAATGATTTTAGATAAGAATGGAGACTCAGTAAGCACCACGGCCATAAATATTGAAAAAAAGTAAATTCCATGTGCTGGAATTCTACATGCTACATGTAAAATTATGTGAGCCTGTGAGTTTTGATGAAAATAAAGTTGGTGGGAGAGTAAAAACTGTAACAACAACGCCTGAAATAGAAAAAGCAATACTTGATCCGATAGAAGAAGATCCTTCAAATAGTACCAGGAAGATTGCACTGCAACTGGAAGTCAGCCCAAACACCATATGAACAGTTCTAAAAAGAAATCTCCTACACCCATATCATATACAGCAGGTCCAAGCTCTGCCCAAAATTAAAATTTCGCAGGGGGTTGATTCGTACGATGGCCTTCAATAATAATTTTTTGACAATTATTTCATTCACGGACGAAGCAAATTTTTCACTAGAAGCTCTTACTTGGCTAATACTTGGGCCCCTGCTCTTTGTTATTTATGGTAATATCTCCCTATAAGTCCATTCTCTATGCAGATGACACAACTTTAATATATAACGATCAATCATCTAACATTCCACAAGTGATGGAAGAAGTTGAAAATGAAGCCAACACATGGTTTCTAGCAAATAAATTGAAGTTGAATAGTGACAAATCCCAAAATCTTGAGTTCCTCACTGTAGGTTCAGTTGACAGAAGAGTAAAATTACTTGGCATCGCTCTTGACAGTTCTTTATCTTGGCATCAACATACAGATCTTCTCGCAAATAAACTATCCTTCGTCAACTGCAAAACATCACAAGCGGCGAGATTCTGAAAATTACGTATTTTGCATTATTCCACTCACGCATCAGCTACGGTGTTGTTCTTTGGGGGAACTTTCCTTGTTCGATGATAATTTTCAAACTACACAAAAAAACTGTAAGAATATTGGCAAGTGCAGGTCAAGAAGGTTACACAGCGCCATCTGCCCGCGAATAGATCAAGCAATAATGTCGATATATCAAAGTTACGTACAGCGCCTTCTGCCTGCGAATAGATCAAGCGATAATGTCCATAATTCTGTCAAATACAGATCCCGAGCTTTAGAGTTACAAGCAAACAAACATACATACATACATACATGTGAAGATAATATAAAGCGTGTGAAAAGCGACTTTCGTGTGATATTCATATGAAAGTAGTTGTTCGGAAAAGACACGAAATTCAGTGGCATTCAGAAAGATGAATGAAAACAGTTCAATGAAGAGTACCAATAAAAATAATTTTCACAATGCCCCGAAAAAAGCTATCAAAAAGTCGGAAGTATCAAGTGTGCTATCATCAGTATCGTCCAAGGAGAACTATCATCATATTTAGATAAAAATGTTGCGACAAAATATTTATAATGCACGAGAATAAATATCGATACCAAAATAAATACTCAACATAATCTGGTTATCCACTTCCTGTCTTATCAGCCAGTGTACAGAAGTTGAGAGAAATTCGTGACATTACTTGATGACCTCGTTCATTGACAAGAGCCCGAGGAGATCATTTTGCCGCAATGCTATTTATATATCAAGAATTTCCGCTTTTATATGGCTCAACATTCTCTTCCAGGTGCTAATTTTATTCAAAGATAGCTCAGTTATTTGCGCTATCAACAGAGAGTCAGAATAAAGTTTTGCAGATTTGATATACCAGTTGAATTTGAGGAAAATGATGCTTGAGTCTGTGTCCTTTTGGTGTCCCGAAAGAAGGTCACTAACAAATGCTCGAGCAAAAAATGTCGCGTAGAATTGGGCGCGGATCAAAAGATCGCCGGCAAAAAAAAAGGTCGTTGGAATAATTTGGCCGCACTAGCCCAATATTTTATTTTATTCTATTCAGTAGATAACGGCACATGATACCGTAATGTGTTGCCTATAAATAGATAGATAGGTAGATAATTTATTAAACTACGATACATAATGTTTGTAGCAGGTCATACAAATGAACAGTTTTATTTCCAAACAGTAGGTTGGTGATTGAATGAGTGGCATATGTAGAGTTTATTTTTCCATTCTGGAAACTATTTCTGTGTTCCTTTATGCGGGCTTTGAACATTCTTCCAGTTTGACCTATATCAATCATAGGACATGACTCAGAGGTCTGTACACATGAGTGTATAAATTATCATGTGGGTCATGTCCGATGTTTTATATATGTCAAACTGGAAGAACGTGCAAAGCCCGCATAAAGGAACATAGAAATAGTTTCCAGAGTGGAAAATGAAACTTCATTTCCAGAAGAAAGATTCAAAGCTAAACCTGTTGGAGAGTATGGAAATAAATTTAAAAACCACCAATATCTTATTAACGATCAAACTGAACTGAATGATTCGCCATTATTGAATCTGTTTATTTACAGGTGAGAAAAGTTTTGTGAATTTAGTTTATTCATATAGTTGATGAATTTATACCTGATCTTTTCAGGTAAATTTATTCGTTAAAAAGTAGGCATACCAGTAGGTAATATGTTTAACTTGAAGTTATTCGAAAACTCTTTTCTAAAAATAGTCTATAATGAAATATACGATTTCTCAAGTGAACACCTTTTGAAAATTAGTACAAAAATGGATATAGGTATGTCAATTATATCTCCATAATCTTTCGATTCACACATATAAAAATAAATCAAACATTCAATATAATATGATACAAGAAATGAATTAAGAAAACGATATCTCAAAAAATTACATGTATTTTATTCCTTTTATATTTCCTAACCTTCATTATATGAAATATATTGCATTATATAAAAAATTTCAAATCTTTTTTTTTATATAAAAATAAAATTGAAGAATGGATAATGAAGACGATTTTTTTTCAATGATATAATGAATTTTATTCAATTCATATATTGTGATTCAGCACATATTTTGAATTTATGTATTTATTTGTTATTTTAATTTCACATATATTCACATACTTCGTATATGCATATATATGAGATTGTATTTATAAAGATATATCTATTTTTACGACACCTTGGTACAAGTTTCATTTCTCAAGGTTATTATCATTTTATTTAGAAGTTTGTTCATTATTTCCGATGTATATATTATAAAATGTCATGAATAAACTTATATTATTATTATTATCTAGATTCACTCATGGACTGTATCTTGTAGACTGCTGCTCAATGCATCAGCTTTTTTGATTATTTATTTTGTTGAAAATTTCGGGAATGGGCCTAATTCATACATTTTGAATGCGGATATGATAAAATCACTGAATTTCGATGTTTTTTATGTATCAGTTTCTCACACCAAAGAAAATATTTTTTTTTCCAGTTATCAAACCCACATCCTACAGCAAAAACAAATATTGACAAAGGTATTCCCAAGAAACAACTGATTGCAGTGAACATTTTGACCACCTTGCAAATTTCAGAAATGAATAAAAGTTTGATTTTTTATTATTATCGTTCAGTTCAGGTTTGTGTCTTCATATAGAAAGATTCAACAGGTGAGGAAATTGCAATATTACTATCAGACATTGAGGGACTACTCAGAATTGGTTGTTGGTATAACAACTTGACTTTTTGAGGATAAGTAACAAATGCGAGATAAATAGATAATTACATTGATGGTGGAGTCTTGCTGAGGCTATTCTGCTCAACCATCAGAGGGGCTTAGCCTCAAAGGAAATTATACAGCGAAGCTTTATTATCAATCATGGTTGACTGCTTCATCAAAGAGATTACATGTTGTATGATTTGGGACATGATATTGTTTCGTTTGGAAAAGAAGTAAATTCAATGATATGTCATGTGTGAAGTGGTTCAGTTTTATTTGAAAAGAAATTTTTCTTCACTTCAAATTTGGTGGTATCAGATTATGACTTCATATAGGTACATCATGTGTGCCTCCATGTATTTTTTTTGTTCAACCGAAATTCATCAAACTCAAAATTCATTCTTTCCCAAATTCATTGAAAATAATTGAAAATCATTTTCACATAGTGACGTGCATATATGCTTAATTCAATAACTCCAATTCTAAACTATTCTAAAACATATTTCTCATCTACTCAGCACTCTGTGAGAAATGGGTAAATACAGGGTGTTGATTAAGTATGTACCATAAATTTAACAGACGATTCTTTAGGTAATTTCAAGACGAAATGTTCATATAAACATGTGTCCGCAAATCCTTCGTTCTCAAGATACAGGATGTTGAAATAAAAATAAAAAGAAGTTATTCCTTAATATCCTCCACCTAATTTTGTTGTAATTTGTCAATGGAATTCATAACATAGAGGAGCTAATTTAGCCCAAACATGATTCAAGTTATTAAGTCCAGTGGCGTCTCGAGCGGGATTTGAACGAATATTTTTGACTTAAAAATGTACGCCACTGGCTTTTGTGCAATTTTTATCATATCTTTAGATTGAACAAGTAGAAGTACAACTTTTTTGTCTCTCGATTTTTTTCGTATCTTGCTTAGTTTTTAAGAAAAAAAAGTTGACCTAACTGTATATCCCTGGACCTCACAAGGAATAATAGAGGAAATTAAATGTTTATTTTGGAAATTATTATTTTTACAATGTTCCATTACTAACTATGTAACAATAACAACAAATATTAAATAACATTAACATCTATACTAACGAATTGCACTGAATTAAGTGTTGAAAATGGCCTCCTTCGGCTTCAATACAACCATCTAGCCGCCGCATCATTGAATTTCGCACTCTTCTGAAAATACCATAAATAATAATCAAGGGTTGCCTTGGAAAACGATTGCAGCGCAGCATTCAATAAACAACTTGACAGTTGTTGTCAACTTTATAAGCTTTTAATTTATAGTTTTTATAAAAAGTATGTTAAGTGGTTATTTTTCGAACCATTTTTGTAAAACATGGTTCAATTTACTAACAGTGAAATGGCAGATATGCATTTCTGTTCTGGAATGGCTCACGGAAACTCGAATGTTGCAAGACGCATTTACCATGAAAGATTTCCTCACCGTGTAGTGCCTAATAGAAGAACTTTTGAACGTCTCCATGCACGACTTTCTGATACAGGCACCTTTAAAAGATCGTAGTTGTCATTGGGAGGCCTGCAACGGTGCGAACAGTTCGAATTGAAGAAGCTGTTTTAAATGAGATTGGAGTAAATCCTCATAGCTGAAGAACTGTATATTACCCATGTCACAGTGTGGCAGATTTTAAGAGCCCAGCAGCTATATCCCTATCACATGCAACGTGTGCAAGCTCTATTGCCCAGATATTTGCCTGTAAGACTAGCTTTTTCTAATTGGCTACGCGGTAAAATAAGAAGAAATCCAGGTTTCACAAGTCGAATATTGTTTACAGATGAAGTTTGTTTTTCTCGCAATTCAATTATTTACTTCCACAACAATCACATTGGGGCCGAAAACAATCCACACGCCTTGATAGAAAATAATTTTCCAAGAACAGTTTTCTTTTAATATTTGGGTTGGAATTTTCGGTGACCATCTCATTGGGCCTCACTTCCTTCCACCTAGACTTAATGGAGAAAAATACCGAAGGTTTTTAGAATCTGTTTCACCTGGACTTTTAGAAGAAATCCCAGTCATGAAAAGATTCCGTATGTGGTACATGCACGATGAGGCTCCACCACACTTTAGTGTAGTGGCACGGCAGTTTTTGGATGAAAATTACCATAATTGCTGGATTAGGAGAGCAGGACCACACCTCTGGCCACCTCGCTCGCCCGAAATGAATCCCTCAGATTATTTTCACTGGGGGACACATCAAAGCGTTGGTATTCAAAACTGCTATTCAAAGTAAAGAGGATTTGCGGAATAAAATCATTAATTCATCTGAAATAATGAAAAATACGCCAGGTATTTTCAGAAGAGTGCGAAATTCAATGATGCGGCGGCTAGACGGTTGTATTGAAGCTGAAGGAGGCCATTTCCAACACTTAATTTAGTGCAATTCGTTAGTCTAGTTGTTAATGTTATTTAATATTTGTTGTTATTGTTACATAATTAGTAATGAAAGATTGTAAAAATAATAATTTCAAAAAGAAACATTCAATTCCCCATATTATACTTTGTGAGGTCCAGGGATATGCAATATACAAAAAGTTGTATTTCTAATTGTTTTACCCTAAGAAATGATAAATATGGCACAATGGCGTACCTTTTTGAGTCAAAAATATTCGTTCAAATCCCGCTCGAGACGCCACTGGAATTAATAAATTGAATCACGTTCGGGCTAAATTAGCTCCTTAATGTTATAAATACCATTGCCAAATTACAACAAAATTAGGTAAAGGATATTTAAGATATTTACGAATAACTTTTTTTTTATTTCTGTATTCTGTATCTTTCTGTATCTTTATTTTTGTATCTTGAGAACGAAGGATTTGCGGACCCATGTTTATGTGAACATTTCGTCATAAAATTACCTAAAGAATTTTCTGTTGAATTTATGGTACATACTTGATTAACAGCCTGTGAACGCAAGCACTGTTCCAGAAACTCAGAAACGGAAAACTTTTCTAGATGTGAGTTTCACCTAGAAAGTTGACGTCTTCAGAACATGACACCTGATTGATTGATTTGTGAGACGCACGTCAGAAAGAGTGCTGCAGTTCTGTTGTCTGGGAACAGTGCTTGTTTCGGAGAGGCTAGACGTCTCTCTCTCATTAGAAATAGATACAAAATGAAAACTGTTTCTCAAACAACTGAAAGAAATATTTTTGGTCACTGTCAATTTCAGCTGCCATTTTTCTTTAATAAAAGTTTCTCGCAATTTGAAAATGAAGTTTTTTCTTTCTTATATTTTTTTAAACAATTTTCTCTCATCCTACGTAACAATTGGAATGCTGCGTCATATTTAATAAACCGCCAACATTTCTTCTTTGATATTGGAGATAATTTTGCAATTTTACTGTCAAACTTAATCAGTTCAGATACTTGGCCTTTTTTGAGAAAATTTATACGATTAGTGAGAAAGCAATAATTTTGATTCCAGGAGTAGTACATTTGATTTTTGAAGTTTCAGTGTAGACACAAATTTTATAGGATTGTTTCACTTTTTGAAAATCATCGATTATTTTTCATTTAGATATTTTGAAAATTATTTTTTCACTACCTATAAAATGTAATAGGAACATGCCCAAAAAATTCATGTCTCTTCAAAACAGAGAAGGATGTCTACAAGTAAAAGTGGAACAATAATCAAATTAAAAAAACCCATACAACAATTCGGATCCAAATATCGATCAAATTTGAACAAATATCAGAAAAATACATCGTATTTCAAAAATGAAAGCCTGTGGGATCCATACTTATTTGAACATTTTATCTTTAAACTACTTGTGGAGTCCTTCTGTGAAATATCAGACATTTCAAAAAATACCTCGTCTTCAAACTATTTGTGGAGTCATTCTGAGAAATATCAGACACTTCAAAAAATACTTCGTCTCAATCAGCTTATCTATTTCAGAATTTCATCCAATATGTCTGAAGCTAAGACAAACATCGTCAAATTGTTTGAACGTCCAAGAGAACTTGTTATCATGCCTAAGGGAAAAGATAATACAGTTTTTGATGTACCCCCGTCTTATTTGGTGAGTCTAAATTCATGATTACATTATTACCATTGAAAAAACCTAAGCTTATAGCCTCATTTTTGGAAATTCAGGATGTTTCCTAGCTACGGTAAGAAACTTCGGAGGGTGATTCGTTGTATTCTTTTAAGAAAAGAAGTTCACATGTTTGAAGTTTGATAAAACGGTATCTATAAAATATCATGAATATCCTCAAACCAATTTGATTGAAATTTGCTAAAGTTATTTGTAGTAGGAAGGCGCTTATTTAACCCAACTTAGAGTTTTCCTTTTCAATTATTCGATTCCTCAAGTCACTCACATCTGTGTTTTATACACTAAAGCCTTCAGATGACCCCATGAATAGAAATCTAGAGAATTCATATCAGGACTACGAGCTGGCCAATTTTGAGGTTCTGCACGTCCAATCCAGCGATTACGGCCGATGATATCGAGATGCTAATGAGCAAAAGCACTCAAATGAGCTGGGGTCCCGTTGTGCATTAACTACATATTACCTCTCACAAGTCTTGGCACTTCTTTTAAAAAAATGGGTAAATAATCTCGTGAAAAGTCCATGTAAGATTCACCTGTTGATGTTGTTAAAAAAATGTGCTATTCAGGTAGTCACCAACAATTCATGATGAATTTCATTAGTTCGACGTACGACCTAATGAATCACCCTTAGAAGTTTCGTACCGCAGTTAGGAAATACCCTGTATCATGAACAGATATGACAATATAACATATTTGGTTGTACACAAAAAACTCAATACGACATTCTTCCACAGCCTGATCAATACAAGAATCTTGGAACTCAGATTGTCAATAAATTCGGAGAAGAAGCTACCAAAAAGGTTCCTGTGAGAGACATCCCAATTCCGTCACTCGGAGAAATTCTGGACCTTCCTCGCGATCAAAACTTTTCTTTGTTCATCCCTAAGCATGCTAGAATAGCTGGACGACTCATAGAGATATACATGGGTGAGTTTCACTGTCATTTGGTGTCCACTTTCAATGTTCCGCATTTCGAGAGTGCCTTATTTTTGGAAAAAATCGTTTTGGCTTTCTCCATTTTCATACAGAAAAAATATGAAAAGGAGAAAGCAACTCAAATCCTAATGAAGTTTTAACAAAGATTTGCAGCACAAAAATGTCTTTCTGGGACAAAGTGGAAAAGAACTCCGTTTGAAATAACTACTTTCACAGGAAAATTAAATAACAAGAATAAAAAAGACCTCTCCAAACAACTACTCTCATAATAACCTGAAAATTACATTTTTCATCTAGTTTATTTTTTGAACATCCGCTATAAACAACGTGATATATGAAAAATCATTTCTGACGTGAGAAATAATAAGCATGCAACAGTCGGAAGATCGATATTAGAATGCAGTGTTCGTTTATTTTTCCGAGATTTTCATTTAATGAACCAGGTATTGCGTGAAAGTGACACTATTTTTATCTGAGTTTGAAAGTCGTCGACTTTTGAAATCTTCCTGACGTTTCGCTGGCTCGCCTCACATGAAAAAGACGAACTCCTATATTCTACGCCACGGATTCAACAGGCTTCGTTGGTGAAATTAGGGACTTGACTCTGGAGCAGACAGATATTCTGGCCAGCTGAAAGAAATCTATTTTTCCGATAATCAGCTATCGCCCCCATACGAACGACAACTCTCAGAAGTTGAGAAACTTCTGCGAGCTAAGGACTAACTAGGTCTCACCCTTTCAACGTGTGATTCCTACGATGTGTCTTTGTTTACCAACGTCCCACTGGAAGGCTCTCTGAGAAAGCTAGCCTACTTGTTTCCAAGTGATATCATCCGACTCTATGTCTTACTGAAGGATTCTTTCAATGGAGGGAAACCTTCTTTGAACAATAAGGTAATGTGGCGATGAGAAGCTCACTGAGCCAAGTGATAGCCAACTTTTTCAAGGGACGTTTTGAAGAAAAGGCAATTGACGCCTCTGAGTTAAAAACCCTGCGGCTATGTTACGTGGATGAAATCTTCCTCGTCAGGAAACTTGGAGGGGAAGAGGTCCACGGTTCAAAACGGGAACGGTGAAGCACAACATTGAAAATGTTTTCAAACTCACCAAAGATACAATAAAGCATCAGGTTGGCTGAAGACAAAAGAGGCCCACTATCAGCAGTAGTAGTGTATTGTATACTATGCATTTGTGAAAAGGTATACTTCGGAACCACCAAATGATTCATGGGAACAAGGCTGAAGAAGCATGGAAGAAACTGTTGACTAATCCAAAAGGACAAGTCGACTGTGGCGAAATATGCACTCAGTGAAGAAAATCACAGAATTCTATTTGAAAACACGAAACTGATTGCCCCAACCATCTGATACGGGATAGGGATCCACAACCGGTTCTGGTGCAGATATTTTCAGTCTCAGCCCCAAAACAGAGGAATCAACCTGTCTAGGAACCTATGCGACCGTATTTCAAGCAGGAATTCACGCTATTGAATTGTGTGCAATGGAAATAATAATGAACATGAAGAAATTTTAAAAATTGACGACTTTCGAACCCGAATAAAAATAGTGACACTGAAAACATTGGCCACGAAAGCCCTAACGATTTTGTATTCAGTTGAAGTCTCATAAAATAGTGTAACTGGAATAAAGTCAAACTGGAATAGTATATTTTTCCCATAGATAAAAATCATCTTGAATATTAGATGACGAAACTAGCGTCACGAAAAGAGCTGTCACAGTTCTCCATTTCAGAATCTCCACCTAAGGAACTCAAGGTGAAAAGAAAATTCCACTGATGTCAGAAGTCATTTTAAAAAAATATATCTTCGTACCTGTGAATGATAATAATGTTAAATCACAATGAATATTTTGTGCAGGTATGCGAAACGTAGACGAACTCCTGTCAGTGGCAGTTTACACCAGAGACCGCGTCAATCCTTACCTTTTCAACTACTGTCTATCTGTTGCTTTGCTGCATCGTCCTGATACGCAGGACATTGATTTGCCGTCCTTTGTCCACTCATTTCCAGACAAGTACATTGACGGAAAAGTATTTGCCAGAGCTAGAGAGGAAGCCAACATCGTTCCTACACTATCAAGGGTAAGTGTGTAGTTGAAAAATGAGAAAAGTGATGTATTAGTTGTTTGAATTGAGATTTTTTCTAATCAGAGAATAGACAACGTGACGTAACATCTAATAGGTACACACGCGAGAATGTAAGTTATTGAGTGAGTACATATGCGCAAGTTCAAATGCCGAGTAGTTCGACAGCAAGGAAAGCGTCGAATGAACAGGTGAAATAAGTATGATAATTATAAAGTTCAGTTGGAGTATAGTGTTCGAGTTTCATTATCAATGGAGTTTTTTTATTTTCAACAGACGTATCACTTGTTTATTCGTCAAGAACTCTCCTATTGATATGGTATGAATAGTTGGTAAAATTATTGACGGAAGAACAAATGGTATTCTGAAGAAAAAAAGATTGTAGCTGATATATCACTGTATAATAATAACAGAAATATTCTTTATTACACTAAATACCACTTAACATAGTTTATGTATTGAAAATATTGAAAGGGGTAATTAAAAACAATTTCAAACCCTTCAGTTTCAACTCCACATGTGCATTTAAAAAAAAAACTGGTTTCTGCTCAACAATGCTTTTGTCTTCTTGTAAAGTTTGTTATTTTTTCATGAAGACAGCTAATTTCAATTGGTTTCAGTCGATGATGGATGTCGTTGTATATTTTATAAACAATATGAATGAAACCATATTGAAATAGGGATGATCTGAGAGGTGAAAGAATCAAGTGATCGGTTCTTCATTTTATTTGAAGTCACTGATAGATTGGACACCATGCTAGATAATCGAGCAACAATCAGGACGGAATGATGGCAAACGGAGAAATAATGGAGTTCTTTTAGTCATATAGTGAAAAATAAGAAAATGTATTCTACACAATTGCATATGCAGATGACATAGTTATCTTGCAGACCGGCAAATTTGTGAACACACTGTGATGGGCTTAAAATAATAGAACCTTGGTGTGAGGAACACTCACTGTCGATCAATCCCAAGATGACTGAGATGGTCCTTTCCACCAGGAAAAGAAGTTTATCGGGCCTAAAACCTCCCGAAATCTTCAAAGCAAACTAAATTTCTCTGAAGAGGTGAAATATCTTGGCACTATCCTCGACAGGAAGCTAACTTGGAACTCTCATCTACAGAGTAGAGCAAAAAGAGCATATGTGGCTTATGAGCAATGTCGAAGGACAGGGAACGCGCATGGGGACTTTTACCTCATGCGGTCACCTGGATCTACACTGTAATAATAAGGCCTATGTTAACGTACGGAGCCATTGCATTGGGACCAAAACTACAAGCAAGGACCATCCAAAATTATATCAAATACAGCGACTGGCTTGTTCAAAAATGACAGGAGCCATGAGAACAACACCAACCGCGGCAATGGAATTATTTATGGGTCTGACCCCTCTGGACCTGTACGATTGCGCATGGCTGGTGTAAACCTCGAAGTAGAAATCGGTCAATTGAGGCTGCGCAACTGGCGAGAAGCGCTTACTGCGCAACCTCTGTTGCAGGCAACCAGTGATGCAATTGAACCCAGGTTCGTATTTATTAAATCGTACAAAATACAAATAAAACAGAACACAGAGTAAGATGCTACAAATGCAATACGCATATCTAGAGACGGCTCAAAAACCAAAGAAGGCTCAGGATGTGGAGTGTACTCCAGATCACCAAGCCTAAAGATTAAGTGGGGAATGAGAAAAATACCAGCGTGGTCCAAAAAGAACTGGCTGGTATCTCAACAGTCACAAAAGAAATAACCAGGAAAGGAGTTTCTGGCAAAAACATAACAATCTGTACCGACATCAGATAAGCTCTATTAGCCTTGAACAGACAACGTGTTACCTCAGAGCTAGTACTAGATTGCCACCAAGATTTAGTCAAAGCCTCGATAGATCAAAACATTATCCTGAGGTGGGTTAAAGGGCACGACAGAAGTAAAGGTAATTGCGTTGCCAACTCTTTAGCCAAGGAAGCGGCTGGACTAAGAATTTTAGGACCCGGTGGCACCTACGGCCTGATGACTTCGACAGTTGCGGAACTAGCCAAATGTTACAACCATGCTCAATCCTTGAAGGATCATAGAGAAAGAGAGAGAATACGGAAAGAAAAGAAAAGAGAACCAAAAGGTATCCTTGAAACAACGACAGCAATAACAAATAATGAAAAAAAAACAGTGGGAGACATTACTGTGGAATCAACTGGAACAGAAGAAAATGAAAATAAAAAAGGAATTGAAGAAAACAAAAATGCCAAAGGTGAGATGAAAAATTTTCCACAAAAATTACCGTGAAACTGAAGAAGTCCGAGGCCAAGGACAAACTTTCAACAGTCGAGTGAAAGGAATTGGTAAAAATCAACGAGCTCATAATGCAAAAAATGGAAGGAAAAATCAACAGGCCGAAAGACGAATAGGAGAATACACATATGGTTCGCCTGCATTGACGAAGATATCAACAGAGACAAGACACTCACCACGTAAATCCCTGAAGCCTACATTGTGGGAAATGTGATTCAATAGCCTAGCTCAATAGAGGAAGAAAGGACCCCTTCTTCAGTCCTAGTATTGCGAGGCCTAGCACTGAGTAGGTTTTGTTACGTTTACAAATTTTTGGCGACTTTTCAGGTCACCAATATCGGTAATGTGACACATCATATGTTTACTTTTTAGTTCAACGGTGAGCAACAGGCGGACCGCGGTCCGCAAACGGAACGCGAAAGGTCGAACCACGGACCGACAAATATTGTAATATGTTGTATACCAAGTATAAATTAATACATAGATGAGGTATACTATACCTTTATCAATTAAAATAATATTTTTGAGTCACATATAATTCAACTTAGTACTTATTTTACTTCAATAAGTTGCCTAGTTAACTTATTTTACAAGTACCTACAACTGATATGGTTTGATTACTTTCCTATCTAGCCTGTGTGTGTGTGTTTAAGCGAATTAGTTGATGTAGCGGCAGAATGACAGATATGGCTGCCAAATTGTTGAATCTGTCAAAGCCATCACTTCAAATCGAGATAATTGATTTGCAAGAAGATTTGTCTTTGCAAATGTATAAAACGGTATCCATCGAAGAATTTTGGGCCAAACATGAAAATTGCAAGAAACTAGCTATAAATTTGGTCACTATGTTTGGCTCAAAAATACATTTTTTGAAATTGTTCAAGATTAACGGACGCCCACCTAGAAGACATACTTGAATTTGCTGTTCCTGTCGATAACCAAACTATAAAAAAATCGCTCAAGACCGTCGATGTAGTTTCTCGCATTAATTTTAGTTCTTGTGTTTTATTTGACTTGAAACCAAAATAATACATAGGTAGCACCTAATTATTATCAGTTGTTTTTTCTGGACTTCGTTAAAATTTTCCCACAGTAGCCGGACCCCACCCAAAGCTACTTACTTCCACCTCAACTATATACAATGCTATTGTCAAAGCATTCATATGACAGTCTTTCATTTTCCACTTCAGATCCATTTCACTCTCCATTTCAGGACCCAATTGAAATCCCTAAAGATTATACAGCCTCCGACTTGGACCCTGAACACCGCATCGCCTATTTTAGAGAAGACATAGGAGTCAATCTTCATCATTGGCACTGGCACTTGATCTACCCCTTCAACGGCCCCATCGAAATTGTTAACAAGAACAGACGGGGAGAACTGTTTTTCTACATGCACCAACAAATTGTCGCAAGGTTAGTTGACACCTGTGATCATTTCTCAATCACGAAATGGTGGTTACTATTTTATGATCTATCAAATTTTTTCATTCATCTCTCACTGCGGATGCATTTAAAATCGCTCAACTTACTGATGCGAATATCATGACATGACAAAACCAACATTTGTTTGCAAGTACAATTAATAATGACCCAATGTTCGAATATATGGACAAAGTACGTAAATGACTAAAACCGTATTTTTCAACAGAAGGAATTCATTGTTAAAATCTATCATGCCTTGGAATGAGACCGCAGAGCCAGCACCCGAGTCACTCGACTGATTTGGCACGGCTAGAGGCATTTACTGTACATTGCGCATTCTTTCCGATTTTGATGAAATTGCAAGTATTCGGGGTAATTTTTTTATTCTGATTAAAAGTATCTTGTTAGTATTGATTGGGATAATGATATTTCTGGAATATTGATATTCAGGGTAGAGTTTCAATTGAAAGATTGTTTTCTTATTATCGTGAGGTTATGTGGATCAGTGAAGTGTACCTTTTCGGTCTCTTGTACTTGTTTATTGAAATGGTGAGTTTAATTTGATTCACATATCTTCTGAGTTGTCTCAGTGAAGTTAGGGTCAAGTTACTGTCATAGTTATAATATCAAATTGAAGCTTTGAAGTTTTGTAGAACAGGTGAATTATGAGAATGGTGAATAATTAGGCTCTGGTCACATTTGATTCAGAATAATGACCTCTCAAAGTCAATTTGATGGCTGTGAGTGAAACTCTGTTTTAGTGGACTGTTAACACACCGTCAGTTGCCATAGAGAACCTTCTAGATCTACCTCCTCTCCACAATTTTCTGAAGAGTGAGGCTAGATGGACTGCGTATAGACTTGTGCACCTTGTCAACTGCACAAATCAATCTACAAACTACAAATTACCTGTTCCCGAGTAGAGAGGACTAGATTCTCTGGGAGAAGAAAATATTAAGAGCAGATAGTTGTCGGTTCACAGATGGATCAAAATACTATCAGGCTCCGAAGCAGATGTTTCCAGTTGCAGTCCCTGGACAGAGAAATCAACCTGCCTAGGGACCTATGTGGCTATATTTCAAGCGGAAATCTATGCTATTGAATTGTGTGCGGAGAGCCTGGCAGAATTCAACCTCATACACAAGTCAATGAAAATTGACGACTTGCCAAAAACGACTTTTTTGGATACAAAGACTGATAGAATTGTCTCTGGTCTGGATTCTTAGCCATATTGGCCTGGCTGCTGAATCCCTTGCAAAAGAGGGTGCTGCAGGCAGCTTCATTGGACCAGCTTCGCCAAAAACAAACAGTTGTTGGACTACAGTAGGGATGAACTACGATGTCTGTTTGAAAAATGATGAAACAGCAGAACACAGATAAATCTTTCACAGTAATTTGATCTGATACCCTTTCATGAAAGTACGGAATTGACATCTGGTTTCTATCAACAATTATCCAAGAAAACATGTTTTCAAAGCTCCCTCTAGCAATAAATGTTCAAAATGTTTATCATTCACTTCCTGACTCTAAACTCTATTTAGAAATTTATTTCACACATGACAAAAGTATATGTAGGTAAATTAATTTGAAAAAATAAACATCATGTAGAATGCATTACATAATTAATTTAGGTTTAATTTGATTCAATTTGACTCAATTCATGCCGATTCATTGTTTACCGAAAAGGATTGCTTTCGTTTTATTTTTAAACGCAGAAAAAGATAGTGATTTCAGTCCGTCGGACACAGGAATTCTGAACTTTTTGGATCCTGGAAGAAGTTTCTTGATCAAGGCATGGGCCATAGATACTATCACCGTAGTTGAAAATTGATAAAATGAGTGTATCACATAGTTGAATTTTCAAATGTTTTGTCAAGTAGTGTCTGTGTGGGTATAGATGTTTTAGTAAACCATATGCTTTCGAAATCAGATAGTTAATATGGCTAGTGAATCTCAAATTTCAATCTAATGTCAACCCCAAGCATTTTATTTTATCGCTATATTCCAATTTGTGATTATTGATAAAAATTGAGGAATTATCTATGGCCCTACTCCTGTCCCTCTCATTACCAAAAATTATGGCTGATGATTTATTTGGGTTGACGTTCAAACAGTGATTTCTTGATATTTTCAAAAGGTCATCTATATCATTATTCAAAAAGTGTTCAACGGATAAAAATTCATCAATTTTCGCGGAAAAAATCAGATTGGTATCATCAGCATAGGTATGCATTTGAAAATTCTTCAGTATTTTGGAAAAATCAGAAGTGTAAATAATAAATAGGAGAGGTGCAAGTATATATCCCTGAGGTGCCCCATGTATTACGTTCAGTTCTGATAATGAGTTATTATTGATGAGAACACGCTGTGTTCTATTACTGAGGAAAGATTTGAAAAAAGATTGACTTTTCTCATCGAATCCGTAATAACAAAGTTTTGCACATAGTAAAGCATGGTTCATTGTATCAAATGCTTTCTTATAATCAAGTGAAACTAACAGAGTTACTTCATTTTCATCATATGAATGTATAATACCACCGGTAATATTAGAAAGAGTACTTGTGGTACCATAATTTTGTCTAAAGCCAGACTGCGTGATATGGAGAATACGGTTATTATTGACTAAGGTATACGTTTGTTCATAAACTGCTTTTTCGAATACATTTGAGAGTGACGGTAAAATATTAATAGGTCTCAAGTCATTGAATGTTTCTGGTTTGCATATTTTTTGGCGAAGTTTAGCAAAGCGCTATTTTTCCACCCAACCACGTAGATGATAATTGATGATGATTAATTTCCACAATTTAATTCAAGAGGCGTTTTACTACACGGTAGTTTTATCAATTGACTTGAGATCAGTACCAAGAGTACTGGTAGTAGTCTGCTATCATCATGTTGAGGTCAAAAACTCCTCAAATCACCCTCGTAATTCTTCACGCTAGACCAACATCCGTCACTTCTAAAATAATTGTAGCCATTCATGGTCATTCAGTCCAATACCATTCCAGAAGACACTACAATTCACATATGATTCATATCTGTTTCCTGTCAAACGTTGCTTTGTTTTACAGATATAATTTCGAGCGTCTCTGCCACAAACTCAAACGAGTTGAACGATTCATAGACTTCCGGGCGGAAATTCCCGAAGCGTATTTCTCAAAATTGGATAGCTTGGTGGCAAGCAGAACTTGGCCAGCTCGTGTAGCCAATCAGAAACTCAGTAACTTGAGGAGAGAAGCGGATCAAATAGTTGTTGATATCGACGATATGGAACGGTGGAGGGATAGGATATTTAATGCCATCAATACTGGTATTGTTAAAAATGTGAGTATTATCGCTGAGGAACACATACAATTTTGGACCGAGTTCTATGTTCACAGAATGGTTCTCAAGTCCAAAGTCTAGACCTAATTCTATTCATATACTGCTAATTTGATTGTAATTCATATAAATTGAATATTTAACTGAGGACTTTGTTAAAACTTCTAGAAGAAATAGACCATGAAAGACTAACACCATTTTGCAACATCCAGATTATATTATCCTCTACACAACATAGATCTACCACTTAATTTTTGTCATTATGGTATAAAAAAAACACCTCTGGAATGGTATTCCATTTATTCATGGAATAGAGAATGAAAAGTTTTCCTGAATTAGAGTAATGATAAAACATGCTTTTCCTGGACATGGGGTAATGTAACACAGAATTCTCCCAAGGTTCCTTTCTGCGTCCATTGCCGTCCCTGCTTCCTCAAGCCTCAACGACAATATTTGCTGGCGATACACTTTTTTTTGTTGATGGTGGTGATATCGATGAATCAATAAACCATACACTGGTTTTTATGAACCAATGGTGTGAAATAAATCATATGAATTCCTCCAAATCTCGGTTCATATCCTTCAATGTAACATTTTAGAATAGTAGCAGAAACCTTGTCATTATTTTAGGCCCATAGATAAATTGGGGACAACATATCTCACCTGAATGGAAAGTTGAGCAAACTGGCTATCTTTCGTGTCTGTTTAGTATTATGCAAAAATGAGTAGTGATTTATTTGTTTCTTGAAAAGTGTTAGACTCGAATGAATGGGGCATAGATTGGAGGTATTATTTGAACCCTCACAGGCTTTATTGTCGAAAGAATAGATCTTATTGACAAAACGTGTGAGAATAACATAAATATATATGCAAGCATGTACTGAGTGTATCTGATTTGAGACCTATAAAAACACATATACATATACACACACATATACATATGAAAATAGGCTAAAAACAGATGTTTACCACAATAAAGAAAACGTCCACGTGTGTTAAATGTGGTAATCAGGCATAGGAATATAAAAATCAAGAAAAGAAACACACAAAACCTCAAAATGGTATCTACTGGGCTTTCATAAATGTCGGGGTAGGTATAGGCAGTCTGAAATCGTCAGTCTGACGAGTGGAATAGTTAGAGGAGACCAAAGGAAATTCATCTTTATACTTATTTATTGAACAAGCCGTTACTAATATGAAAATGGTACAAACTGTCAAAATATCATGTAAATATATGCCTACAGGAGTGTTGTTTCATTTGGAAGTACAAGAACAGATTTCATATGGGTTCTACAACATACTCCCCAGAAGGGAATGTCATATGTTAAGTGTGAGTCTACTAGTGAATAGTAAACAGATTTAGCTGCAGAAGATCCAAATTCTCCAGAAGATATTCTTTAGGCATAACAAGCCGGAGAAAGTTTTAAATTGAGTATTCTGATGTGATCTTCAAATCATAAGTCGTTATCTATGATAATACCCAGGAATTTGCTGCCTAATTCATTCTCGATAACACATTCATTGATAGTTGTTGGGAAGTTATCAACAGAACTCAGAAAAGACATTAAATTAGTTCTGTTGATATTCAAAGATGAAAGATTGGCATCGCAACTGTTATTAATAATCCTGATGTATGAAAATATAACCTTGTGAAAAACTGAGGTAGTTTTGCTGTGCCATAATATTGTGGTGTCATCTGTGAATAACATTATATTCAACGATGTCAGATGATTTATATACAAAATAAAGATAATGAGACCAAGAATAGACCCCTGAGGGACTATTCATACTAGCTATACTAGCTATTTATACTAGCTGCAGTTGATAATGAAGTAGGCATTTTAACTAGTCAACTTCTATGAGAAAGGTGACATTAAAACTCCTCATGAGTTATTCCATCAATGCCATAAAGATTGGGACATCTGTCGGGTTGCCACTTGCCACAATTTGGCATTTCATCGCTGTCAATTACAGTAGCTATTGCCGTTTCAACGTTAATTATTTTCAAGGATAAGGGACAAGACATACAACTCACGGAATTCGAAGGAATTGACGTCTTAGGAAATATAGTAGAAGCCACTATTCTTTCTCCAAACAAAGCTTTTTACGGAGACCTTCACAACATGGGGCACGTCTTCATTTCGTACGTTCATGATCCAGACAACAGACATCTTGTGAGTTGACAATGACCTGCTGAAAACCTGTGTTTGAATGTTATTTTTGTTGCAGGAACCCGTAGGAATTATGGGGGATCCTGCCACAGATATGCGTGATCCTACATTCTACACATGGCACGCGTACATTGATGATATTTTCCAGAGATTCAAGTCCACCTTGCCCAGATACACCGTGCAACAGGTAAATTAAAGTAGAACGAAAGGGAACTATACTTTCAAACTAAGAAAGTTTATGATTTGTCCATTTATCTTGAATCTTTAAACTTGTTCTCACTGTTTTATTTCTCTTTTGTCGGAAGCCAGTGTCAGCTCTTCTGTTATCTGATGTTGTTCCTGAATCAATGCAGAAAAAAACTGGTTTATAGTTGTGATTTGAGTCTACACTGTGTATCATCGAATCAATTTCATATTTCCTATATATGCTAGAAAAAGAATATAAATTCATGAGAGGTTATCATTTGATGAAAGCACTTAAGAAATGTTGCTTCAAAGAAACAGAGAAAAAAAACACCACTGGTTCTCTACTATAACCAAACTCATATCTTCAATAATGAAGAAGTCAGCAATAGTGCTGAGTTTGTTCAGAATATGTTTTCCTGAACAAACAGGGAATTTGAAAACTCATACTTTGATCAAATGCTTCAAAGTCACATTCATATCAGTTTGTTTATGGAATTTCATGAAACATTTCAGCTGAATTTCCCTGGAATCTCTGTGGAACAACTTGCTATCGAAAGTGGAAGCCAGCCCAACATCATCCAGACGTTCTGGCAACAATCCGATGTGGACCTGTCTAGAGGAATGGACTTTCAACCACGTGGAACCATTTTAGTCAGATTCACACATCTCAATCATGCAGATTTCAGCTACAGAATCACTGTGAATAATACCAGCAATGGGGTGAGACAAGGCACTTGCAGAATATTCCTTGCACCCAAGTTCGACGAGAGGGGCAACCCATGGTTGTTCAGGGATCAGAAGCATATGTTCATCGAAATGGATAAGTTCATGGTGAACTGTAAGTTTTTTTCATTCAGTATGGACACACCTACATCTCAGTTTAAATGTTAATTCTATCTGTCATGGATCCAAATGGAAATTTCACAGTAGTGTTATTTTTTGCGATATAGAAACGTTGAAAATTATGAATTCAACGAACTACACAATTTTCATGGTCGAAAGGTGCTAAAACTCTGATAAGTATGATCTCATGAACACCTTCAATTATCCAAGAGCCAAAATCAATGCATTTTCTTTCCAAATTCTCTGTAAAATAGAAAGAAAATTCATATTTTCAGTGAATTTATTGTTCAACACTTTTGGGTTAGTGAATCAACAACCATTTGTTTCAATTATAAGCTGTCAGTCAGTATCTTGTAAACATTCAAAATGAGTGTTGACGATCAAAAAATTTGTGCTACCCTACCAGACATTACCGAGCAATTAAATATGGCGATGAATAATTTGTTAACAACAAAATCAAGAGAAAAATACGAATATAATGTCGAAAATTTCATGAGTTGAACAGAGGAGAAAACCAAAACTTCGTTATCCAAAAACGTTCTTCTTATTTATTTCGACGATTCAGCAAAAACTTTCATCCAAAATGAACCCCAATAAAATAATTTGTAGGAAATGTTGTCACCAATTTTTAAATCGTTTGATTGAGTTCTGATTGATTGACTGAATGAGTTTATCATCTAAAGTCATGATCTCACACAAATATATTGTACATTCCTTTCTACGTCAGTCGTAGAAAAACTATAGTACTCCATAATCCTTCCTACTCAAAAACTATATCTTATTTTCATTGGAGTCATTGGTCAGTTTTTTATTTTAAATAAATTTTCGGACCCACCTATTCAGATATGGCCGAACTTCCTGTCCACGAAGCTGAAATGCTGAAATGCGTTTCTAGTGTTATAAATTATCAACAGAATACGTTTGTTTAGTCTACTTTGAACGATACATAATCTTCGTGATGCCGCCAAAGATCACCAGCCATAAATCAAATTCAACGCTTACTCTGTTGGACAATTATCTTCATGAATAGAATGATAGTTTTCGTTAACTATCACAATGGCAGTTATTATACGACACACGCTGTCTTCCGACAGGCCGAGTCTCTTCATATGATGATTCAACGACAGTAACTTGTGTGCCTATTAGGCATCGTAGTTCATCCGTATTGTAGTCCAACAACTATATGTTATCAAGCATCGAAGGGTGAATAAACGCCTTGGAGTGAGTTTATCCTGGATGATTCTGCCAAAAGTTCATAAATCTTCTTGCCATCCAGGTGTTAAATGTTTCTTTGCTAAAACCTAAAGCAATGCTAATAATAGGTTCCGGTCCGATGAAGCTGCTTACAACACCCTCCTTTGCAATGGAGTCAGCAACCTCATTGTTTTCCAGGTCAGTTTGGCCAGGAATCCAGACCAGAGACAATTTGTTAAGTCTTCCTATCGAGGAGGGTCGTTTTTGTCAATTTTCTACCATTTGAGACGTTGCTCGGATGGAGCCAAGAGCTTTCAACGCCACTTGTCTGTCCGAGGAGAATATTTCAATATACTCGTGTATAAGGTTGAATTCTACCAATATTTCCGCATACAATTCAATAGCATAGATTTCCGCTTGAAATACAGTCGCCTGGGTCCCTAGTCGAGTTGATATCTCTCTCCTGGATCTGCAACTGAAAACACCTGCACCGGACCTTGAAGGTTTTTTGATCCATCCGTGAACCAACAACTTTCTGCTCTTAATATTTCCTTCTTCCGCAGGATCCAGTCCTCTCTCCTCCCTCAGCAGGTTGTTATCTCTGGTAACCGATCGAATACAGAGCCTTCGCGGGCCACATTCATCCTTTTTATTTCTGGATTCAATTTTCTATCAATACCACAGATAACGTGTTCGTAAGGAGAAGTACCATCGCCTTTTCTCAACTAATTTTTGATTTTTTCTGAGATTTCTTTTTGAAATTACAACTCGATATTTTTGAATCGAAAAAAAACGATTACTTATGAAAAATGTCTACTCCAATTGTGAAGAATCTGATTATGTTTCATTTAATTCACCTCGACTATCATTTCCTAAATTGAACCAAAGACGATCAGTAATCCAAACTTTTATACAGAATTAATTTTTCTTCATCCAATACTCTTCATACTGAAAATCTGCTATCTTTCAGTGAAGCAGGGAAAAAATACAATAGTTCGTTCTTCGAAGGATTCCTCTCTCACCATCCCCTTCAGCCGAACGTTCAGGGATGTCGATACCGACAGACCCGCAGGGGGGCATGAACTTGACAGATACAACTTCTGTGGATGCGGATGGCCGCATCATCTCCTGACTCCCATGGGAACCCCCGAAGGCATGCAGTCCCAGTTGTTTGTTATGATTTCGGATTACGCTGATGATAAGGTGAGTTTTCAAACTTGATCATTCAGATAATTTCATTTGTAGAAATCAGAACTGAAAAAAACATAAAATCCGCACCAAATAATCACTAGCCAACAAACAAGAAAGAAAAATTGCGACTAATATTATAACGGTTATAGCTATTTTCATTTTATACAAAAATTTTCACATATTATAGGGATCAAAACAAGAAGAAAACATTATATTTTGAGAATAACAGATTTTATTTACAATACACTTGAAAAAACATTCAAATGGAGTGTTTTGTGTATAACCATTTTGCTGTTGACTTTCGTTTATATGTTTCATCGTTTTCTCTCATAAAGAACCAACAATAATCCCCCATCATTGCTGCATCCCATATGCCTTGGTAACGTTCCTCCATTGTCAGTGTGTCTGCAAGAAATGGATTTTGAGAGACATGCGACATTGTGCAGTAGCTTTCAATTAGTTCTTCTACAAGTGTTTCGTAATTTTCTACTTTCTTGTTTCCTAAAAACTCCAAAACAATTCTTTTGAAAGAACTTCCCGCAGCTAATTCAACATAACTTAATTTTTGATCAAACCGTTGAACACTTAGTAGTTTTCTCCAACAAATATACCTTCCTTGAGCTTTGCATCACTTAATTTTGGAAAAACGTGTTGAATATATTTAAACGCATTACCTTCTTTGTCTAATGCTTTTAAAAATTTTTTCATTAACCTCAGTTTAACAAAACGTTTTGGGATTAACAAGAGGTATATTCTTCACTTTACCTTGACCTGAAATATATTTATCTCTCGGAAGCCATTCTTTAACTTGATAATGACTCTGTGTTGCCCTATGGTTCCAAAGGCAAAGAAAACAGCAAAACTTCGTGAATCAGTCCTGAAGAACTAGTAATAGTCCTCTGACTTTTAGGTCACCACATATTTGCCACTTATAAGTATTATAACTTATTGCATTTAGAATAAGTGACATACTTTCGTGTGTTTGCTTCATGGCAACTGCATGGGCAAGAGGAATAGAGGGTCTTTTGTTACCATTATGGGGAAGAACAGCTTTTGAACTTGTTTTAGACGAATCTATTAATAAACGCCATTTGTCCGGGTTATGTGCAAATCCTAATTTTGCCATTACACTATTTGGATTTACAAAAACACACATTTCATCCTGCATAGTAAAAAACGAGGATATCTCATGGTTACGGTTCCTAAATATTGTAACTACGGTTTTAGGGGCTAGTAAATCCCATTATTGTAATCTAGACCCTAATAGTTCATTATTATCCCGAACTAGGTCATTCAATTCAGGTTGTTCGATTAAGTGGGATGTTCTTTCTTCACTCAAGGGAAAATAAGGACCGTTTTTTTCTGGCACATCATGGCAACCTGCTTGGCCATCATATATTTCCAAATCTTCCTCCCAATTTGCCGGGGGTGTTGGAACTGGTAAACCTTCTCCATGAAGAACCGGCCTTCTTGCAGAAGGCATATCCTGATATACAATTTTGTGTCTCCTCTTTTTTTGAAAAACCAGACACAGTGTGTTTTTTCTATAATATTATTCAGATTGGTAGTGTAGAGTACTAAGGCAAGCGTCTTACGGCGAAACATCGATGTCTACCAGTTTGAATATCAGGGTTCCATGTAACTGAAATTTTTACTTTTTATTCAGTATATTGTGTCGAAATCCTGTGAATGATATCTGATTCAATTCCATATCGAATGTTTGGAATACAAACAGAGTAGGGAAAAGAACTCAATCAGTGTTCATATAGCAGTATTTGTCCCAAAAAAATGTTTCTTTCGTGCAATTCAATATTTATATGAAAGTAGCTGTTTTGGGAGGGCTTCTCCTTTTAGTTTGTGTGTTTTGTATCAATACGGAGTAGTAGACAGCCAAACCCTTTTAATTTATACATACCTTCCTTTTGAATGCCTCTATCTATTGAAAACCCGCATCAAATTCCGCAGTAGCAGTTGGAACGTTTGGAGGCAAAACCCGGAAGCCAACAAAAACATTTAGTTTGGCAGTTCAGATGATTATCGATGGTACAATTGTATATTTATTATCCATTCATATCCAACTGTATTGAGCCTTCTTACTGAGGAACTCAGTCTAGTTGCAAAACATTGAAGTTGATTTGTATTTTCTGTCAATTGCAAGGATGTGTTTCGATAAAACAAGGTTCATCATCACTACTCACGTTGTTCTCTGTTGATTGTTATTTGACAAAGATTTCTGCAGTATTCACTTTGATTGTTCACTTCATTGAAAACAAATGATCAACTTGATATTATGCCCCGAATATGATCAAGAAATTACTTTATTTTTCAGGTGGAACAAACCGTAGAAGGAAACTGCAACCAGGGTTATAGCTTCTGCGGTATCAAAGATAGACTGTACCCAGATCGTCGCCCCATGGGATACCCCTTTGATCGCCAACCACGTAATGGGGTTGATACCCTTCAACAATTCCTAACCCCCAACATGAGGGTGCAAGACGTCGTTGTCAAGTTCACCAACAGAGTATTCAGACCAAAACCAACCAAATGAAGACATAAATGTATGATGATGAAAGTTTTGAAATAATATATGAATGAAGCAATTTTAGTTTTTTTTCTGTAGTAAAGTCTTTATTTGTTACTGTGTACTGTAATTCTTCAAATTGATAGTATAATACAGTTGAAATGATCTGGTGGCAATTTTTTGCTGCGTTACAATATTATTTTACTGATTCCTTCATCGTTAAAGCTATAAGTAATGACTTTCGAAAGAAATAAGATTGACGTTAAAAATACAAATGATATAGCGAAAGTACATAAATGGCGTTATCAGTGGACTGTAATTTTACTTCTAATTAATTTCGATACGAGAGCATCAAAGTTACCTGATAGTTGGAGTTTTCCTCTTGTATAAGCTGCAATGGGTTTTCTCAGGAGCTCCTTGGAATGGTTTCCAGCTAACTGTTGATGCATATACTCGTTGACACAACATTCACAAAAGGGATAAATATCGGTATATCGAGGAGATAGCGAACGAACTGATTCAATTCAATTCAATTCAAAATATGCTTTATTACCCAAGATATACATCTTATTGGCAAAGTCTAGTAAAGTGAAACATGTATAAGGGACAATTAACAAATATAAACTATAAAATAATACTTAAATACAGGAGCAGAGTATATGGACAGAACAATATTGAGTCCAGCTGAACAGCTACAAATATAAGTACATGAATTTATGAATATTAAGTGAACGTAAATATATAATTCTACATAATGAACATTGATAGCCATTTCGTGTTGGTTTCAATAACTTGTTTACACAAAGCTACATGTCAATTATTCGATAGAGCCTTGGTAGAATTCGTCCACACTATAATAGGGCCTCCCAACAAGGAATTCTTTCACTTTCTTTCTGAATTTCTTTTCATTATATATTCGCCTTAAATTAATGGGAAGGTGGTTAAATAACTTCTTGCTATTGAAAATAATAGAATTTTGTGTAAGGGCTAGAGAAGGTGTGGGAAGGGAAACAGAGTAAGACTGACGTGTACTATAAGTTGCGGTGTTACTAAATTGATTTTTATATTTTTTGTGGATAAGACACACTGTTTCCAAAATAAAAAGACGTACTAAGGTCAAAATTTTTTGCTTCACAAATAATGGGCGGCATGAATCCCTGTAGCTAGCCTTGCATAAATATCTGATGGCTCTTTTTTGTAGAGAGAATACCATATTGAAACGAAATTTTGCACAATTTTCTCAGAAACAAATTCCATAACGTAAATAAGATTCAATGTGTGCAAAATAAACTGATCTTGTGATAGTAGTGTCTAACTCTCTTGCAACAACTCTCACTGCATGACATCCTGCTGCTAGTCTTTTACATAAGTAGTCGACATGAAAATCAAATTTTAGATTTTCATCAATGAAGAGTCCTAAAATTTTGTTTTTCTCCAAATTTTCAATTTTTACATTTTCCAAGTGTACTTCCCCTATGTTACATCTAAACGTGATCACATTTGTTTTATCGAGGTTCAATGATAAGAGATTGGAATCACACCACTCTTTAACCGTTCTTATGTCGACGATGATTTGATCAAGTAAATTGGAGGATGTATTGCTATGCCAGACGATAGTGGTGTCGTCAGCGAAACATGTGAATTTACCACTCATGTCAACATGGACCAAGTCATTGACATAAATGAGAAACAACACCGGTCCCAAAACGGAACCTTGTGGAACCCCACTGTCAATGAAACGTTCCTCTGATGAAATTCCATCTAATAGAACATTCTGCCGCCAATGAGAAAGGTACGTCTCAAACCAAAGTAATGCCGATCCTCTAAACCCGTAAACTTCCAGCTTGCGAAGAAGCAGCATGTGGTCTACACAATCGAAAGCTTTGGTTAGGTCACAAAACATGGCCGCCGTAGATTCTCTGTCATTAAGATTGGTGTACAGGTTTTCCAGGAGTGAAAATATGGCGTCTTGTGTACCTGTTGAAGGCTGAAAGCCAAATTGGAATAAATTCAACACATTGTTTTTCTCGAGGAAGGATATTACTCGTTTTTTTACCAGTTTTTCTATAAATTCAGACAAGACGGGTAGCAAAGCAATTGGCCTAAAATTAGCTGGGTTGCCAAGATCGCCTCCTTTATGTAGAGGAATGATTGTGGCAATTTTCAGACACGATGGGAACATACCTTTCGAGAATGAGAAATGACTATATTGTTTTCGAAACGGTTGCGATTCAACATCAAAATCATCCACAACACACTCAATATTCTTTCTTTGTAAGTCATAAAAAAAACCATAAACAAAAAACTTTGAATGCTCGGTTTCGCGATAAAGACATTGAACTGAGAATTGAAATGTTGCCGGTTTCCGAACAGTATTCTCTTGAAGAAAAATAATATTTCATAATTTGAAATATAATTTCATAAATTAAATCACAACAGTTTGAGAGAAACAAGTATATTCGTTATTGTTCAGTGGAAATAAATATGAGGTACTAGTTTTTACCTTCAATTCTCACTCCAGGATTCCATAAAAAAATCAAATAGAGAAGTTAAAAAACGAACTATCAATGTCACGACTAAAAATTCAAAAGAAGACTCAGAAAATGAAATTTTGTTGATAAAGAAGGGTTTTGACTTTCTAAGTTATCTTCACACAAAAAAATATGGGAATCTTCCAAAGAAGAAAAAAAGCAACTAATTTCGTTATAAAATCTTCATAAAGTTATGTAGTTCATGCAAAGAAGTAACTTTCGGACACAAACTGAAAAAAGGCCCTCTCTAAACAACTACTTTCATATAAACATTGAATTACACTGCAGAAAAAATCCTCCGAATTAATTTATTATGGACGACCCTATACTTATCGAGTACGTACCAGTTGGTTTCACATTTTACGATAAAACTGTAAATTTTGTATATCTCTGAGAACACGGAATAACTCAGTTCGTTACCTTGAGAGTAATACTATTTACTTCCATCATCATCGCATCCAGCAGAAATAATTTCAACGTTGGTGTCATTTTTCTTAAGTAAATATCTAAAATACTCTATACTATATCACTCTGACGAAATAATAAAATCACTTTTGTCTAATTTCCTTTAGTTAATTTTATTTATACGACCGGTTTCGGGTTAAATCCATTGTCAAGTATGAAACTAAAATGTGAAATATGAAAACTGGGATATATCGGGAGTATTAAGGTGAGTTAGAAGGGCAGGTAGTTGTTCGAACCAGGGTTCCAACTATAGAATTCGACACTGAATATTATAGGGGTTGTTAAATCTATAAATTCAATAGTGGAGACCTACATGAATTGAGTTGCTCGTTTAGGGGTATATATTTCAGGTTTTGAATTTCCATGGCTGAATAGGAAATAGCTATTTATGATATGAGTGTTGAAGGTAAGTTTTATTTTGTAAGTGAAAAAATTTCACAAACAAAATAAAACTTACATACATAAAAAGTTTTTTGTACAACTCTCCTGTTTTCATAATAAAATATATAAATTCAATATTTCTATAAAAACACATTTTGACATCTCTTGTCAGTTAACTATTTTCATGCTATCGCATTTGCTGTGAAGCGGCCGTGTCAGGTGAAACCGAATCACCTGGTTACCAAACGACAGTATTCTTTACAGCTCACGAGTTTTATTCAAAGTCATATTTAAAGCTCTTGCTGGTGTTCAATGTCTTGCATAATTAAGAACAATAGTGAGGAATTGTGTTTTCCTGACGATATTGAAGAAGCTGCAAAAAGACCTTCAATTGTTCCAAAAAAATTGGCTCAGCAGTACGACATCACATATTCTAATTTTCTCAGCTGGTGTAGACTTAAAATCGCCGAAAGAAATTCGAGAGAAATCATCTTCTTACCCTATCTAGAGGAAAAATCAAAATTATGAAACACGTCAACTTTATGAAGCATGTTTTCAGTGATAAAAAATCAAAAAAAATCAAAATCAAAATCAAAATAAAGTCGAGTGCGCTCGTTGAAAATAGTTATAATACAAGTAAATATTTCAAGGTAATAGCATTTTTATAGCGAAAAAATGAAAGTTATAGGCCCAGAAAATAAAAAATTCTTACATTTAAACAAGTCCAGATGTTTATAAATAAGGCGCCAGAAAAAAATATTTGATGATAAAAGTTGCTACTATTTTCGAAATATGTGAAGCCTGTTGGCGTGAAGAGCTGTGCCATTTATCAATAGAAGACATTAAATCACTGGATGTATCATTGATTGTTCAAATTCCAAATACAAAAACGAAAAAAGGTCGTTCTTTTTGCATTGTTGGAAAAACATCGACTATTTTAATGAATACGTTGCATTACGCCCTTCAGTTATCAATCATCAACTTTCTATCTTGAAATACTGAAATTATGAATGCAGTGCCAACCCAGTTGGTATAAAGACATTTGGAAAAATATCCTCTACCATTGCTGAGTTTCTGAACCTCACGGAACCAAAAGAATATATAGGTATTGTTAGTAGGTCTTCTGCTTATTCTCTAGCCGTGTCAGGAGCAAATATAACGGATATTAAGAAGCACGGAGGATGGAAATCTGCAGCAGTAGCTGAGGGTTACATTGATCAATCTATTTGTTATAAAAAAAACTATTGCTGAAAGAATAATCCCTATAGCTAGCTCCAGCTTTACATCATCGTTCTCTTCACTTCAAGAATTGAATGTTAATGCCCATGAAATTGTCAACTCAGCTAGTTTAAAAATATTACAAGGCTCTTCAACATCGCAAGGTATTAATATCAGCAGTTGTTCTAATTATACTTTCCATATTAATGTTCATAAATAATAATAATGATAATGTAATTATTGTATATAATACCTACATTGTTCATAAAAAGATTTTTTGAAAATTGAATAATTATGTTTTGTTTATTGCTATTTGGTCGAAAAACACAAGTGTTGAAAATATTTTCAGTACGCTACTTTGTAAACATCATCTTTCAATAAACTTGACAACCATTAAAAATGCCACTTTTAATGACAGTTGTACAAAAAACTGTTTACCGTTCAATTCAGTGTTCATATATAAGTAGTTGTGTCAAAAGTATTTTTTTGTGTTATTCAGTGTTTATATGAAAGTAGTTGTTTCGGGAGGTCTTTTTTGCAGTTTGTGTATATAGATAATAATAATAAAAATAATAATATTCATTTACGTAAAAAAGAAGAATACGGAACAATGAGAACAATGAGAAGATGAAGGTGAATAAATGAGTAGTCGATAAGGGTTTTTCACACTTGTTTTGAGAGAAAACAATACAATAAAACTTATAAATAATGAACATACTGACTGACCATTGCGGAGATACGAAAGAAATCTCATGAATATCAAACTTGTCTAAATCTAAAGATAAATATTCACAAACCATTCGCACACACGTATATACATGTGTAACTATTACACATGTATAAACGTGTGTGCGACAGGCATTAACCTTGTTTTTACAAGATTAGGTTAGGTTAGGTTAGGTTAATGCCTGTCAGTGGTATAAAATTGTCTGTATGTATAATATGAAGTTCTATCATGAAGTAATAATAATAATAATGATATAATAATATCGTTTATTAGGCATAAGAATACATTTATACATAAAAGGAAAAGGGTTAGCCACCCCTCCTGGAAATTATACAGTGAGTGTAACAAAATAATTATAAAATAACTCCTAATATTTTGAATATTATTTTGGTCAATTTAACAAATTTCATTGCCCTACCATACATTGAATTTTAAATTTTTTAAATTAACACTGAGCAGTTAGCATCTCTGATTTTATTTCTTTTTTAAATTAATGAATATTATGATTTCAAAGGGGTGAAATTTCATTCAGATAAGAAGGGGCTATATAAGAAAAACATCCTTGAAATTTGGAAGTACGGTGCCTAGCTATGTTGAATGACTTGATTCTCAAATTGACCATATGTATGTCAGAATGCCTGCTTAATGAACTATATGAATAATCAGGTCTTTTAGTTTGAAGCAAGTCAAACAAAAAAATACTTATCAAATATTCGACTCTATACCTCACATTCAGCTCCTTGATTTTTAACAATACAGCATACGAATCGCATGCAAGTATTTTGTATACGTTGTAACTTCTGCTTGTTATATTGCGGCAAAAAACAACAACATCGAACAACAATACTCGTAAATAAGAGTTTCAACTAACCTGTTCCATTTCTTCTGATAACTGATACTTGAATTTGTATAGCGATTTGAGCTTGAATAATGTTTTGTGCAAATCTGTATTTATATTGGCTTCTCATATCGGTGTTACGAGAAGACAAATATAATTTTATATCGTCTGCATATAGATGTACTCAACAATGTGATAAAAAAGTGGGGTAGTCAAAAATAAACACTGAAAACATCAAGGGTCCTAAAATACTTTCCTGCGGTACACCTGAAATTGTTTCCTTTAGGGATGACCATGAGAAATCATCCAGTTTGACCCTATGTGATCGGCCTGTGAGATAGTTGGTCATCCATTTAAGAGAAATGTCATCGATTCCTATGAACTTGAGCTTGCTGATGAGTATATCGAAATTAACTAAATCGAAAGCTTTACTTTGATCAAGCAGTACTGAAATGGTGATTTTTGATTGATCTCTGAATCTCGCAAGATCGTCGATTACTTTCAAGAAGGCAGTCTACGTTCCGTGTCTTTTGCGAAACCCAGACTGCTCGTACAGAAGTATTCGATTTTCTTCAAGAAGAGCTCTTATTTGACGGGAAACATTTTTCTCAAATATTTTAGAGAATTAGGGTAGAATGCTGATAGGGCGTGGGTCACTGAACGTGGTAGGTGCATTTTTTTTCGGAATTGGAATTATATTAGCAACCTTCCAAACATCTGGAAAAATACCCTGTCTGAAGGACTCGTTGAAAATATGTTTAACTTCATCAATACAGTGTAATAATGAAAAATATTTTGGACATAAAACTTTCTCACGATCATCACAAATAAAATCGACCTAATACTGAAAACCACATCCTGTAGCATGAACAAATTTTGACACGAGGATTCCTAAAAACAACTGATAAAACAACGATTACAATGATCCTATCAACCACCTTCACCACCTCCAAAATTTCCCAAACGTATAAAATTTTGATTTTTCGGTGGAATTAATCAGTTCACTTTTGTGCTTTTGTCCACAGTGGAAATCTTCAAAGGTGAGTTATCTCATTACAAATTATTTTCAAAATGATTTCAGTGTAAGAGTGCAGCGGTACATTTGGGAACATTCTTGAACATTTTCATACTTAGGTTTGGAATAGAGTAATAAATGATAGTAAAAGGTGACAAAAACATGTGAATAATAATTTAAATCTTCATTTCTGGACGGATGAGATGAACAGGAATTTCATAGACTTCAAAATGTTCACGTATTCAATACACCTTTATATGTTGAATTCAGTATTTATATGCAGAATTTCAGTTTTCAGAAAAACAAATTCCTACTTGAAAAACAAATGTAGTCACAATGAAATATAATTTTGTTCGTTGATATAACTGAGTAGGCTTTTAGGAATATGTATTGAAAGATTTGCCTTTTTTTTATCTGAAATATAAGATTTCCTATTGCCTCTATTTCATTCTCTTATAAAACACAAACCAATCAAAATAACCCGTTGTGCGTTTTATTTTTTTTTTTAAACTGTTGCACAGGAATGATTGATAGTATTTTCAGATTTAACAAAAGATTTTCATGATTAGAAATTATGCTTGCATTGAAATATATTATTGCCAATTATTGAATGTACTTTTCCCACATAATCATCATGAAATTGGATACAAAATTTCCAAAATAATTCCAAAGTCACATAATCTGTTTGAAAAACTGCTTGAAATCTGTTTCTCTATTAACCAGCTGCCTCCTCTTTGTTTGAGCTCAGGATTAACGATGTCTTACCATTTAACGTGCGATTCCTAGCGAGGAACAAATATTGATCTTGGCCTTTGAGTTATTACAAAATGGATAGTTCATGTTTACTTTTATATATTCAGAAACGATAGTTTCGTATATTCGAAATGTCATTCACTATGCAACTATTTATTTTTCTGTGGAAGTTTTGTATCGTTCACTCCAAAATATGAAGATTTGCGATAAATCTGTCCATCGACATTTCTGCTAGAGAAAATCTATTCGATGTCTTGAACAAGTGTTGGCATATCCTCAAAATTTGATAGGTTTTTCATTCCTATTTGATTTTTTCAATAAGTAGCCAAAAAGTGAACTTCATTCGTGAATATTTTTGAAATAAATACGTTTGGAAATAAAATGGATGTATGTGAATCAATTATCATAAAAATATTCGAATTAAGTTACAGTTTTAAATAATTTTTCCGAAGGTAAAATATTTTGAAGTGTTTTCAAACACAATTTTGTTCCTGAATAAGTTGTCGAGAATATTATAATTTTCAAAAATTAAGATCCAAGCTTAAAACTTGACATTTCGTGTACATTTCAGTCCTGATGTTTTGAATAATCTTGTCTTCCTAATTTTCCAAAATTTTCAGAAATTCACAAGACGTTTTGAAATAAGCTACTGTCATATTGTTCGTGAGTATATGGAAGGAATATCAGTAAAATTTGTAAATTGAATCAATAAATTGGTTTGGAAATATAGATTCCACGATTTTATTCGTATTTTTTTAATGAATATTGGTTGGGAAAAGTAATCAGATCATAATTGTATATTTTCATTGTAAATTCAAAACAAGTATCGTTCGTAAGGAGTCTTGAAAAATTGGGTTTTTATTCCCAAGTCGACAAATGTTTGTCCTAAATTTAAAAATCACTCACAAACAAATCGTGTGATCAAAATTCATGATGAATTTTTTCACACTGGATGAAAAAAATGGAGATATCGAAGAGTTATTTTTCAATGAAGTTTTTTGTTGAGATTCTTGGTTAAAGTTAATTTTTTTGTTGAAAATGTGATGCTGAGTGACAGGAAGAAATCCATTCAAAATTTCCGACAATGATTAACTCCTTTTATTCTAGAAACTCATCCAAGATGAATAACACCAAGAAAAATATTGTCAAACTATTCGTTAGGCCAAAGGAATTGGTTATTATGCCAAAAGGAGAAGACAACTCCGTCTTTGACGTACCAATGGAATATTTGGTAAGTATAACAACCGTGGTGAATTACGATTCTCTGATTTAAAAATTTTCCATCCTACCAAATAGAAATTGCAGATATTAAATTGAGTTTGAGTACAATTTTTAAAATGAAATTGACGTGGTAGCGGAAAGTCCATTTTCTACCCGTGTATGTACGATTTTATTCTTTCATCGAACACTGGCTAATTGCTCTAGGAAGCAGAGCCAATATCAAATGAACAATCAATTTCGAAACTGGTTAGTTTCATACAGATTGATAGCACTATATTTTCGAAAAGAATACACCCAGTTAATGGAAATATATGACTGAATAAAAAATATTTATTTCAAATAAAACAATCACATTCAGAATCAATAACTCAGAGATGATTACTAATAATATGATACAATAACTATTTCCTGGTATACTCTAAACTCCAAAGAATCATTCTTTCGGATGTAGATTGATAAAAACTATTCTTCTTCTACCATAGCCTGACAAGTTCAAAAACGTAGCAGCTCAGATCGTCAGCAGATTTGGGGAAGAAGCTAGCTCAAAAATTCCTGTGAACACCATTTCTATTCCCCCTCTGGGAGAAATTCTGGAACTTGCTCGTGATGAGAACTTCTCTCTTTTCATCCCCAAACACAGAAGGATTGCGGGTCGGCTCATAGATATCTACTTAGGTGAGTCCTTTCTAACAGTTTTTCCAAAAGAATTTTCTGGTTTTCTATTTGTACATTCAATTGAAAGATTCCTGGATACAAACCTGTTGAGAGTAAGAAGCTGTGCAAGAGTATATTTGCTCTCCAAAAGCGTCTAGTAACTTCCTGAAAAAACTCATATTTCATCTAGTCCCACTCTTTTAACGAATGAACTTCAGAAAATGGTATTCTGGAAATTGCTGATTGCCAATTATAAAGATCACTGCGATCCGAGTATCAAATAATTGGGATCATGCCACTGCCATTGGATTGCTCTACAAGCATATATCCGCAAGTTTTCAAAGAGACCAAAGAGACTGCGATTATTCATCGTACACTTCAGATGCAGCCTCAAAATATCCATAGGCCTAATGTCAGGTGACTGAGTGGAATATTCTGCGAGACTACGTCTACTTGTCTAACGGTTTGAATAATTGACAAATTCAAATGCCTTTTCAACTGATGTTGCATTTCAACAAGATCAGATACCTCTTCGTTACGAAAGTCTTTTTCTAAAAAGATTGAACGACCATCGTCCAAACCGTTAGAAAGACAGGCGTAGTTCCCCAAAAGAGCCCACTGGATCACCTGATATGACGCCCATAGTTTTTTGAGGGGGATACGTCTACGATATGAAATCGCAATCCATTTCAGAACTCGTGAATAGGAAAAAACCTGTTTGCAACTAAATCACCACAGGAACATTCCTCAATGTGAGAAACAAATTTGTTAACAGACTATTGTCAGAAAGGAAGTGATTTGAAATATTTATTGAAATGAACTGAAGTGGGTTTTGAAGTCATGATATGTATCGTTTGTTTCCAAACTCTTGAAACTTATTACTAGGAAATGACTAATCCATTTTTTGAAAATAAAAAAATGTTGAATAAGGAATTAAAATACATATTGAGCTATGTATTACATTTTAGTAGCACCCTATTGACGACAGATAATGCACCACTATTGTCTCTTTTATCAAAAATTGCTGGAAATTATATTTTTTCAAGTAAATTTTATTAGACCTCAAAATCGTGTCCCATTCAAAAGTTGGGAGGGGAGAAACTATTTTTCAAGTCAACATTGTATAGAGATAATATTGTTTTTGGATATTTTTTTGAAATCCATGAACTGTAAGTACTGCTATCTTATATATACATTTTTATTTCATATTTCAAATTGTGACTTTGTGTTAATCTATTCCTCAACTTTTTTATTTGACTTGCAACAAACATTCAACTGTGAAGTTGATGAATTCAATGATATTTCTCCTGGAAAATTATTATTCAAGAAGAGAAAATTTATTTTCAACAAACTTATTATTGGCGAAGGGAAAAACAAAAGATTGCTCTAGTATGCTCAATAGTTCATCCTCTTCTTCATTCATAAACGTCTTTTTAATTTTTATCCTCTTCTTCAGAATAAATATCCCTATTGATGATAATAATAATAACTTAATATGTATACCTCAAACAGGAATGCGTAATGTGGATGATCTTCTGTCAGTAGCAGTTTACACCAGAGACCGCGTCAATCCTTATCTCTTCAATTATGCTTTATCTGTTGCTCTGTTGCATCGTCCCGATACTCAGGACGTCGACCTGCCTTCTTTCATCCTTGCTTTCCCGGATAAGTACGTTGACAGCAAAGTATTTGCCAAAGCTAGGGAGGAAGCCAACATTGTTCCCGAAGGATCTAGAGTGAGTATCTGTTTGGAAGTCAACATTTATTGTCTCCATGCGAAAACAATCCCGGATCAAATTGTTTATAACTTTACAATCTACACCGATGATATAATACAAATATCCACCAAACTCATGACTAATGCTCAAATGTCTATCACCCCATTAGCTCAATTCGCATTTTTACGAACAAGACTGTAATTCCTACATCGCGATGATGCCGATACTCGTATAACCCAAAGAAACTATACAGTGCATTTCTCTAAGGCCCCCCCTTCTTTTATTTTTTGAACGGGTCAACTTAAAGAATTGAAATTTGAAATACCGATGTTTCTAGAAATATTCCTTTTTATCTGCCATATGGCAATTCCATTTCTTCATTTTCGAAGAAGATATGAAGTAAGTTCTTCAAAATAACTGACCAATAACAATAATTCGAGGAATATGTCTATCTATAAGTCGATTCTTGCCCTGGATTCAGCATTCTTCAGGTTCCAAAACTCATAACGAAGAGTTCAAGGTCAAGTGAAACGTCAAGGAAAATGAAATGATGGATAATGAAGTTCCAATCATTGAAGATCAATCCAGAGTTACGATCTAGAGAAACGAAACGTTCCTTTCCGATCTCAATCAAATACATGTATCCAGAGTGCTTGGTATCAGGATTTTCCTGTCTATGGAGCATAACCAGTATAGTATTTCATTTTGAATATATATACGTATGTGATATATATTGGTCAGCTTTGCAGATGGCATCGATCACTGCGAGGCAATCAAGCTGCATTCTTCATTTTCGACCCGCCAAAGATTCTGAAGCCTTCCAAAATCAGGCATAGTTTCCATCAACAACTGGAACATTGTTCCATCATGATATTGCTGAAATAGGTCCTTGTTTGGATCGTTTCTGTTGTCATTATCATTTATCAATATTACTTATACCATCGACATCATCATCTTTGAATTTTTCTGATACATGTTCTTTCACAACTTTTGAAAGGTATTTTTCTCATTCTGTTAACTTTTATTCACTATACAATTTCATCTCTGAGAGCTCTTTTCGAAGAAAGAAACAATTCAATACTTCTTTGGATCAAAACCTGTGGTATGAAAGCTGATGAAAAACGGGTGATTGGAATAAAGGTAAATTACCGAGAAGTGCAAAAACCCCGAGGGTCTTGAGTTACAAATGGAAAAAAACAACCTTTTCACTCTTTTTTGAAGGCTTCGAAGAGTTTGGGACAAGTCATTACAATTGTTACATCCCCCAAAATACCTTAAATCAATAAGGATCAAAAGAGAAATATTTGTTATCATGCATATAACCGAACACTACATTCAAATTTCAATCGTTTCAGATGCCAATTGAAATTCCCAAAGACTTCACAGCATCCGACTTGGAAACTGAACATCGCCTGGCTTATTTCAGAGAAGACTTGGGAATCAATCTTCACCACTGGCACTGGCACTTGGTTTATCCCTTCGAAGCTGCTCTTGAAGTTGTCAACAAAAATAGAAGAGGAGAACTGTTCTACTATATGCATCAACAAATCATCGCAAGGTTGGTCTACTTGTGAAACTTTTATAAAATCACCAAACAGTAATCAACTATCTTCTACTTTTTATTGAGATTCATTACCTTCCACAGTCTGAGGGTTATGAGTCCAAAAACAGTAGGGAGTATTGAGTCCTCCACAAAAAATGTTTTTGAAGAATGAAATGATTACAATATTACAACAGATATTACAAATATTAAGCATTGAGTTTTTTCAATTTTGTATGAATAAACAGAGGATTGTGACAGGCAACTATTGTACCACTCAACCGATGATGTTTTGTTGCCTTGAGCAAGTATAGTGTATGATTATGAATTCTGTCGCACTACAAAAATATGAAAATTTTTATTACATTTGAATTACAAACCAGATATTTGAAATGTTTTCAATTTCAGATATAACTTCGAACGTCTCTGTCATAAACTTAAGCGAGTTGAACGGTTCATTGACTTTAGAGGAGAAATTCCAGAAGCATACTTTCCAAAACTGGACAGTTTGGTGGCGAGTAGGTCTTGGCCTGCCCGTGTTGCCAATCAAAAACTCAGTAACTTGAAAAGAGAATCGGACCAGATACAAATTGATCTAGATGATTTGCAGAGATGGAGGGATAACATTGTGGCTGCTATCAACTCTGGTTTTGTCAGAAATGTGAGTTTCATTACTAATATGTAAATTTAGATGAATTTCATTACTCAAATTGTCTAAAAGAACGATTCCTTCAGGCCAGTCTTGAAATGCCTACACTGTTAATTGATGGACTGACACCTATAAGAAAACAACTACCCTTCTTGCTAATACCACGAAGGGCGTTGGATTATACGAGGAATTGGTCAAATTTCGGATACGCGGTTGGTTACCTCGTTCACATGCAGATGGGGCGATGACAAACATGTTGTTTGTTGTTCGCTTCAGCCTAGTTCGAGGAATGATACTCTGAAGGAACTTGATTTTCAATTATCGGAAATCATTGACTTTATGGTGATGATAGACATATCTTGCACTGATATGTGGCTTTACAGCCCGAAACCGGTCTGCAGGTGTGTTTCAATAATTGAAAATTCATTGTGGCCGTTGCATCCCCAACAGCATATGCTGAAATAACTTCAATGAAGAATCCTGCATTGACACAGTCGGATACAATCCAACGCCCTTCGTGGTATTAGCATTGGGAGTAGTTGGTTTCTTATAGGTATCAGTCCATTAACCTACAGTGTAGGTAATTTGAGACTAGCCTGAATGAATTGTTCTACTAGATAATTCAATTTACAGCCAGTCTCCATGCTTGCCCACCCAATTAGTAAAAAAAATCTAATTTTTGTTATGAGTGTGTTATTATTTGATTTGTCTGAGGCGTTCGAATCTTTTTCTTGGACTCACAAACAATGTATTGAGATGACTGAGCTCCTATGTGGATGGGTGCTGTATGTCAGTCAATTTTGGAGACACCTTGTCGGATGAGTATGCCATCATATCTACTAATGATTTCTCTGAATACGTGGGTGACTGCCACATAACGATGTTCGCAGATGACACCACTGCTACAGTCACTGGACACACTATGGACGACGTGGCAGCCAAAATTAGTAGCATTATCGATGAATGCTCTTCTTGATGTATCTTGAACACCTCAGAATCAGTGACGATGGAATTTTATAACAGGGAAAATAATATTTAAGATGTAGTGTCTTCTATGGATGAAATGCATTTGTCACATGAAGAACAAAAGTGAATGAACCCTTGAAAGGGAACTCTCATAACAATGCTGTCTGCAAGAAACTCAATAAATCATTTTTTGCTGTAAAACAGATGAAAAACTGTGCAGATTAAAGTCTGATGGGCACCTGTTATGCGATAACTTTCTCACATATTTCTTTGAATATCATGTCTTGGCGGTGCGGTTCAGATCTCGTCAGGGCGTTCATAGGCCAAAAACGTATTCTAAGACTAATTTTTGAAATGGAATACCGTGAAAGTTGTAAACCAGTTTCATAAACATGGTGATCAATTAGAATACCCCCCACAGGACAGATAGATTCCAAAAATCACTCCTTTATGATGGAATCATCCTATATAATGAAGTACCAACTTCGATTCAATCTTTTGAATCTGAAAATATGTTTAATAACCTCATTGAAGAGTGTTACTATAGTCGACAGGAATACCTGAACGATAATTCAATGTAGCAGAAGAAAAACACTGTCTCCCAGTAGAAATAGAAGTTTTTGTTGAACATTTCAGACGTCTTTTCTCTTTTCATTTGACTTTCACTCATGTTTCAGGAGCAAGGACAGGAAATACAACTTACGGAGTTTGAGGGAATCGACATCTTGGGAAACATGATGGAAGCCAGTATTCTTTCCCCGAACAGAGCTGTCTACGGGGACTTCCATAATATGGGACACGTTTTCATTTCGTACATCCACGATCCAGACAACAGACATCTTGTATGTTGATTGAACCGTTTTTGGAATATTCGTTCTCTATATTTTTGTATTTTTTTCAGGAATCTTTCGGAGTGATGGGTGACTCAGCAACAGCCATGAGAGATCCTATTTTCTACAGATGGCATGCCTATATTGACGATATTTTCCAGAAATTCAAGTCTTCTTTGCCAAGATATACCGTAGAACAGGTGAGAATTTCCAAATTGAAAATTCAACAGTTTCCAAATATTGCAACTTCTAGTGTGGCTACCATGACATACAATATAAAAGTATATGTATCTGTATTTGTAGAGTAGGGAGGGTGTACATCCTACCGAGGAGTTGTCCTCCTAGGTCATCGTCCATCCTGTCCTTTCCAGGAAGGTGGACAGGTCACTAGGAGACATCTCTTTGCAATTCCAGCGACATGATGGCGCCAAGACATATTGGTGTACTGTCATTATTTTTTCCGGTTTGGAGTAGTGTTTACATTAGATTTATTTCATGCCAAATGTTCTAGCATCATCATCATTTATAGTTGTTGAAAGTTTCCATTGTGGAGTTCCTCAAGGAACCATCCTTGACCCTATCATCTTTCCATCCTGTCCTTTCCAGGAAGGTGGACAGGTCTCTGGGAGTCATCTCTTTTGGCAGGTGTAGGCCAAGACTTGCCAAACACACTCTCTTATTGACGATAATGCCGGGCACTCACGTAGGACATGTTTGACAGTCCATCCCATCTCTTTAGGGGTTGAGCATGGGTGTAACATTTGGCTAGTTCCACAATTGTCATCAGGCCGTAGGTGCCACTGAGTCCTAAAATTTTTAGTCCAGCCGCTTTCTTGGCTAAAGAGTCGGCAATGCGATTACCTTTAACCCACCTCAGGATAATGTTTTTATCTACTGAGGCTCTTGGTGGCACTCTAGTACTAGTCCTGAGGTTACACGTTGTCTGTTCAAAGCTAATAGAGCTTGTCTGCTGTCAGTGCATATTGTTATGTTTCTGCCAGAAATTCCGTTACTTGTTATTTCTTTTGTGGCGATTGAGATACCAGCCAGTTCTGTTTGGACCACGTTGGTATTTTTTCCCATTCCCCACTTAATCCTTAGGCTTAGTGATCTGGAGTCCACTCCACATCCTGAGCCTTCTTTGGTTAGAAGTTTATGTATATGATTGAGAGATTCTCAACCCAAAACTGGAAAAATTGTAAATCATCCACTACAATTTTTTCCCTCAGAAATTACGCAAAATTTTAAAATGCGAATTTTTCTATAATGTCCCATTATTCAATAATAACCTGGAATTAATGTCAAATATTTTCTCAGTTAACAATATTAGTATCCAACTATAGTTGGAAAAAGATTTTCATATGAAACCAAGTTGAAACTTATTTCCGACCTAATGGAGAAATCTGAAAGTTTTCAAGAATTTCAAAGAAAAACAAAAATGTGTTGACAAATCGATTTGGGTAAAGGTTGGTGAATAATATTGATGGTCATGAAACTAGTCCTTACAAAAACAAATATACCAAAATAGCTTTAACCATTAAACGCTGATATTCAATAAACAATAAAAAAAATCTGTTTAAAATCTAGACATAGGTTCTGGATAGAACAGAATTGGTATCAGTCGGCCATGACCAGAAACAAATTTCAGTAACAAACATTTCGTCTGCTACTGTGGTGAATTTCTTCAGTGGTGAAAGCCTATGTTTGTACCCATACATTTTGTTCATTATTGTTGCTTTTCCAACAATAATGTTTGGATTGGTTGCACAGATTCATTTCTGAAGAATGAGTTTATCCATTTCATAGAAACTTCATTTATTTGTAAGAGGTTTGGATGTCCATTGTTGTAAATCGTGTTGACGGATTTGAAATCTGTGACGAAAAAATGAGTACAATATCAAAAAAATCAGGATCTGAGTACCATCATTTTTCTATATAGAAAGTCCATAATATAATTCCAAATTCCACAGTTTTCTCATTCTTTGATATCATTCACTTGTCTGGTCTTGTAATGTTTATTATTATTTCATTTTGTCTTCTCCTCCAAGGTTCTGAATCTGATAATGCTCCGAACCTATAACATTCACTAAGAAACATGGTGGACCATGTTCACACACCGCCAAATAAACCCAACTTCTTGACGAAGCCAATTAGTTTGTGTGGTGAGTGGTCTTTCAGGTTAGATGGTAAGAGTACGACTCTGGGAAGAGGTTTGTTTCTCCACGTGAAACAGATCCTGCGTACGCTGCTCAAGAATTTGATACAAGACGGTTTTATAAGGTACCCCGCTCTTGAGGAGACGACTCAGTAATTTTCTGACTGCACCACCAAATCTTTTATTTAGGTTCAGTTTTTGAATCAGGAATTGGGAAGTTGAGAAGCTCTCGCTCCTGAACTAAATGTACAGGAAGGTCAATTGAAGTCGTAAGCTCGACATCCATCTCCTCTGTAGACTCGCTCCTGAACTAAATTTACAGGGAGGTTAGTTGGAGTCGTAAACTAGACATTCATATCCTCTGTAGACTAACTCCTGATATAAATCCACAAGTGATTCTGTCATTCCCGTATCCAGCTGAGCTACATGTAAGCAGGAATCAGATGGCCAGTTTGCTCAACCCCCTCATCTCAAGCCAATGCACTCGCCAAAAACAGCATGCACAGTGGTTCAGGCAGTGAAAGATGAGCAACGACAGCCAACCCGCTGAAGACTTCATTCATATATAGAAAATTTTCCCAGTCACTCAGATAGTCATAATATTTGAATTATATCAATTTCAGTTGAATTATCCTGGAATCTCCCTGGAAGAAATATCTATCGAAAGTGGAAACCAACGTAACAACATCCAGACATTCTGGCAACAGTCCGATGTGGATCTCTCCCGTGGAATGGACTTCCAACCTCGTGGAGCGGTCTTCGTGAGATTCACCCATCTCAACCACACAGAGTTCAACTACAGAATCATTGTGAACAACACAGCAAACGGAAATAGGCAAGGCACCTGCAGGATATTCCTATCACCCAAGTTCGACGAAAGGGGCAACCCTTGGTTGTTCACTCATCAGAAGCACATGTTCATCGAGATGGATAAGTTCACCGTGAATTGTAAGTTTTCTTGGAAATGGTTCACAAGTAGCTCCTAATGTTTTTGCAGAAATAACGGGTGATTTTTTCAAGAGGTATAGGATTTGGTTTTCAAAACAACACAAAACATTCAAAAAAATTGATGAAATCTTTATTGGAATCGACAGAACGATCAAAATAATTTTATGTTTGAAGATGATTTCATGCAAATGTTGTCCGCGGCTCCGCTTTAGATGGCCCATGCGCAAGGTCCAATTTTGGCACACTCTCTCTAACATATCGACCGGTATTTTACGTATAAATTCTTCCAGAGCTTCCAGAGCGTCAGTCGTTGCTGGTTTATTCCTGTAGACATGAGCCTCAACATGACCCCACAAGAAATATTCTAACGGCGTTAAATCACACGATCTAGGCGGCCAATTGACGGACTTCAAACGTGAAATGAACTGTTCACCGAAGGCTGCTCTTGATTGGGCCATTGTTTCGCGTGCCGTATGGCATGTGGCACCATCTTGTTGAAACCACATGTCAGGCATGTCCAATTCTTCCATTTTGAGCAACAAGAAATCGTCAATCATCACACAGTAGCGCTCGCGATTCACAGTAACGTTCCGGCCATTGTCGTCTTTGAAGAAGTACGGCCCGATGTGGTCACTGACCCATAATCCACACCAAACAGTGACTTTTTCGAAATGTATCGGTAGCTCTTGCAATGCTTGTGGCTGGTCTTTACTCCAGATGCGACAATTTTGCTTGTTAACGTATCTTTCAACCAGAAATGAGCCTCGTTGCTGAACACAATTTTTCGATAAAAATGTGGATTTTCCTCCAACTTTGCCAGCCCCCATTCACCAAATGTTGGTCGTGTGTCTTCAATTCTTGCACCAGCTGTATCTTGAAGGATTTTACACCCAAAATCCTCTCGCAAAATTGTCCACGTAGTGGAGTACCAGAAGGCCCAATTACTGCGAACGGCGGCGAATCGACATTTCACGATCATCACGAACACTGGCGGATACAGCCGCAATATTTTCTTCGGTCCTCACTCTACGTATGCGTGTTGGTGGTTCAATGTCTAATAATGTAAACTGGGTTCGAGATTTAGTCATAAGCTTCCGAATAGCTTCCTCAGTAGGCCGACGAAACTGCCCATAAAGTGGAAGAAGTGCATGATGCACTTTCTTCACCGAGCATGAATTTTGATAATAACATTCAATAATTTGTAACTGTTGTTCATTCGTAAGTCGATTCATGGTTAAATTATAGACCAAACTGAACAAGTATGACGATGACACAAGACACGATTCACGCGTGATCTGTTAAAAACAGTGTCGCCAAAAATATACCAGCAAAAAAAACACTCATTATGATAGATAATGCAATACTCATAGTAAACGAGGATGTCGATAGAAGGACGATGCATAACATTACATAACAACCATAACTTGTTGTTTTGTCTATTAATTAAAAACAGAGTGGATTCACCAGACGTCAATGAAGCAGCAAGCCACTTATATTTTGAAGGCACTTGGATTCCCAGTAGTCTCTGTTTTGATTAGGCATTTTATTCACCAGATCTAATCAAACAGGGGCTTTTCCAAACGACTGGAAAATTTCTCCAATCACAGCAAATTCTGAGCATCATCTTGTTATTGGCAAATTATCCATCCTCAACTAACAACTACTAGAAGTCATAATGTTTCCCATTCTCTCAGATCATCAATTGAAAAATGTTAATGGGTTTTTTCCATAACGTGGTATTGAAACAAATAATATAGTAATCACTTATATAGCATCATTTTCACTGCATTAGATGACCATGAGAAAATGAGTCTATTCGTTTTCAGTGGAGATTTTGACAAAGTTGATCTACAACTTGCTCGTTTCAAAAATTACTGAGGTCGGTATACAGGGTAATCTCTTGAAATGGCCCCTCAACCATAGTCGAATTGTCAACATTAACGAATAGAGATCTGCACCCTTGGTGGTCTCCTCGTGTGTTCCGCAGGGGTCACACTTGGGTCCGTTGTTCTTTTTTTTCAAAGGAGAAAAACATAAGCACTACAGAAAAACCCTCAAGGCGCTCTAAAAGTGGCACCTGTGCGGAAGTGGCGCGTCACGTTGGACTTGAATCGCTGGAGATCGAGTTACTTGAACACATCCCGTGGAAGTATCTATAGAAGGAAAACAAATCTCCAACCTTTCTTCGATGTTCCAGAATATCAAGGTTGTAAGGGATGTTCGTGTCTCCAATCAGGCAGATGGCTCTTTTCTGGATGGAATCCAACAGTTTCAGGGTATGCTTAAGGGCGGAGCAACATACATGATAACAATACTTCAATGAAAGACTGATCTGAGTTTTATGAAGCATCAAAAGTTGCTGAGGTGGCACAGTTTTCTGGTTCGGAACAGTGTTCCAAGCTTTCAACAAGCAACCTTTGCAATTCCAGCGACATGATCGAGCCAAGACATATTGGTGTCCATTTCAACCCCCAACAAACTAATCGTAGCAGAAAGCGGAATAGTCTGTCCTGGCATTATTATATTCGGTTTAGAGATATTTATCTTTTGGGAGAAAATCAATACCTGGGTTTTCGTAGATACTCATTAGGATATGCAACCTCTTGCTGTCGGTGAAGATGTGTAAACGCAGCCGATGTTCTGAAATCCTAATTGAATGATAAAAAAGTGTGCTGTCGTCAGCAAAGCAATATATTGAAAACTCGATATCCACAAACAACTTGGAAGGTAACTTTGAATATCCAAACCTACTTTTTTATACCAACTACCAACTGAACGTGTTCTTCAACTACTCTTACCAATACAAGTGGAAATTCAACAAGAATATCATTGAATATTCACCTGTTTCCATTCCCAATAAAAAAGAAATGAAATAGCAAAACACCAACATAACTTTCCACTGGTTGCTCTTGCTGAGGTGTTAATTATCCAATCCAATTTTTCAGTGAAACAAGGAAAGAATACCATCAATCGCTCATCAACCCAATCATCTGTTACCATTCCTTTCAACCGTACATTCAGAGACTTGGACAACAACAGACCAACAGGTGGTGAAAACCTGGCTCAATTTAACTTCTGTGGATGCGGATGGCCCCAGCATATGTTGACACCAATGGGAAATTCTGAAGGCATGCAGTGCCAGCTGTTTGTTATGATTTCTAACTACGCAGATGACAGGGTTAGTATTTTCCGGTTGAAATAATTTCGAAACTCAATATTGATTGTGTTGAAATATTCAACGCATACAGTATTTTTCTTATCGTGATTAATTTGGAGGTCCCGCTTGCTTTTTGGAAGCTCATGGTTTGCTTAAAATCATCTTGTCTATTTTCCGCCAAACAAATCAATATATTTTATTAATTCTGAAGGAATCTTATGTCTCCGAAGAAAATACTTATTGAAATCACGACGTCATGCAAATTCAAATACTCTGTCTTTCTATAGATCGAGCAATCCATTGAAGGTGCCTGCAACGACGCTGATAGTTTCTGTGGAATCAAGGACAAACTGTACCCCGATCGCCGATCCATGGGGTACCCCTTCGACCGCCAACCCCGTAGTGGGGTTGACACCCTCCAGCAATTCCTGACCCCCAACATGAGAGTGCAAGATGTCGTCATCAAGTTCACCAACAGGGTTTTCAGACCAAGAGAAACGAACTAAGGAAATTGAAAATGAAATTGCACGATTTATAATTTGTGGTGTTGACAGTTTTGAAAGAATAAATCACTAATGTATCATTTTATGTGTTGTGCGTTCTTATTTTCCGTGAATTGCGTTTCGTCAAAACACTTGAGTCGAAATCAGATGGGCCTTTACATTCACATAACTTCCAATCAAGTAAGGTAGTTTTGTCTGTCTTATTTGTGCTGCCTATTCTGAGTGGAAATGAATATTCTTTCTTCAATGAACATTGCAATTCTGACGACATGGGATTGAATTAAGGTGCTAGGCTTTTACTTTGTAACAGAATTCAAGCAGTACAAATTGAACAATCAATCTCGCAGCCACTGCATCTATTCTGCAGAGTTCCACAAGGAACAATCTCAGGCCCTGTGTTGTTTTTGGTGTAAACCTCATTTCTGAAAAATAGATTTTCATGGTGTCAACCACACTTTTACGCTGACGACACTCAACGGTATATTTCCTTTAATCCAGAAAATAGTAGGTGAGCAGTAAACAATATGAATACTGATATATAGAATTTGGTAATTCTATCTTACTCCAGATGAATCATTCTAAATATGTAGTGTTATTGTTTGGTAATACCGGGAATTCTTTCCAAAGTGTCTCTATCTTCTATCAGAATATTCAGTGTCTTAGAAACAAAGTTTCAGCTATTGAACATCTTCTGAACTATTAAGAAAGGATACAACCAATAATATAGAATCACTGAAGTCATATCTGCGAAAAGAAGATTGGTCCAGTGTTTATACAAAAAATGATGCTTAAAAAAATTCAGTAAAGTACCAATTAAAAATTGGTAGAATCCTGCCAATTCATAAAAAAGGCGTTACATCCGAACTAAAAATTTTTCGACAGATAGCAATACTGCCAACCTTCTCAAAGATTTTCGAACACATAATTTACGAACAACTAGTAAAATATTTAGACATAAATAATCTTCTGAGTCTTCATTAATTTGGATTTCGGAAAGGAAAATCGATGTCTGATGCAATACACTCTCTCACAAATAGTATAAAAGACGCCTTCGATAACCAAGAAAAATATGTGAGCGTTTTCACAAACCTGTAAATCACTCGATTTTATTGGCCAAATTAGATTTCTACGGAGTGAGAGGTGTCTGCCTGGACATGATGAAGTCATACCTTAACGAAAGATATCAAATTGTTGATGTAGTTCTAGGAAATACCAAAAGTGGAAAAAGAAAAATATTGAGAGAAGTGCCACAAGGGTCTATATTGGGGCCACTTCTGTTTCTAATCTATATCAACGACCTGCCTCACGTGATGAACTCGTCAGACATAGAAACTATATTGTATGCAGATGATGCAACCTTGAGCAGAAAAATAGATAAAATAAATGCTCCTCATATGATCCATACTGACATATTAGAGAAAGCTCGATCATGGTTCACACCAAATGACTTGATTCTCAATGAACAAAAAATACAAACTCTAACTTTTGGAACAATTTGCTTAAATCGAGATTACAAAAATTCCACCAAATTTTTGGTAGTTCAAATAAATTCCAACGTGAAATGGATAGACCATATGAATATCATGAGCCTAGCAAACTTAGCAAGGCAGTTTTTCCTATCAGAAGAATTGAAAAAATAGTAAATCAAACTGCGGCACTTGCAACATATCATTCACTTTTTCATTCAGTCCTTAGGTATGGTATAATCAATTGGAATAATGCATCAAAGGTACATCTTAATAGAATATTTGTCATTCAAAAATCTGCAGTAAGAAGCATAGTGATGAAATTATGATGAAAAGTGTCGACCAATATTTGCAAAACTCAAAATAATGACCCTATACTCAGTTATTGTCTATGAAAATCTGCTTCTTGTTCAACAAAACTTGATGAATAAAGTTGCTCACAAGGATATTCACCAACATTATACAAGAAATGAGTCAAACCTTGTTTCTACAGCTAATAGGTTGAAAAAAAATGGATAATATAGGAATTAAGCTATACCAGGCCTTATCTGTCGAATTTCGTAACTTGCCATTCAGAAGATTCAAAAACGTATTGAAGAAAATATTAACCAAACATCCTTTATATGTAATTGATCAATTTTTCGAACTTTCTCTCAACTTTCAATATATATAATATGTTGATATGTGATTTATAATTTTTAAAACTCATGGCTTTACATTTGAGTCAATTTTTATACGATTGGAATTTCATCTACTTAACTTGTCCTTTTTTGTAACTCTTACTTATCTACAAGCATTTTTCAGAAACTATATTGACGAATCTTATCCTCTCAAACCTATTTTAGAAATTGTATTGACGTGTCTGAAAAAGGTGTGTTTCTTGACACTAATAAAATTATTATTATTATTATCTAATCCAATCTAATCCAATAGTTGACGATGCCAGGAACTTGGGCTTGTATATGGACTATCAACTATGACGTCGACCAAGAGTATTATTTCACCTCTTTCGGTGAAATCCCGTTGTTGATCCCAACGAAACACTAATGATGATCCAGGTTTCATAATTATAGAAAAAATACATATGACTTTTCTGACTAATTGGGCTTTCCAGTAGTTTATATTACGCAGTAACTTTTCGGCAGATTTTCAGCAGATTTTCTATTGATTCATCTTTAATTTTTTCAGTTTCAAGAAGGTTATAAACCCAAGAAAAACGTATAAAATATTTGAAATCAATATAACTTCATTTAAATATTCTGTTATGGAAAAAAATCTGATGCGATAATTAAAAAGTAATTTTCCAAGTTAAACGTTTCCTATAAATAATTTGCGACAGAATATGCATTACCGTAAATTACGGTAACCATATCTGAAGTGGAAATTATGATGATGATGATTGCTGATCAATTTTAAACGACAACAAAAACACAATTGTACTTGTGATGCACTATATGGAAGATCAAAACTGAGTTTTGATCATCCTCTTGAAGATGATCACTTGGTGATCGAAACACGTGTCGAGGTGTTAAATTAACTGTTTGGTGTTGGGAAAAAACTACAGTGATATTCAAGTCTTGAGGCTTGAATGTGGTTAAATATGAAATTCCATTCGACCATATAACAAAAAAAAGCTAGAGAGACGTAAGTTCAGGTGAAATTAACAAAAATAATTGTGTAATTGTATAATGAATATCCGTACTGATGCCTCAATAGAACTGACTTTAATCAACATATATTATTGAAAATATAACTACTACTACACCATTTTTTGACTCGGTTCATTGAATGTATATTTTGCATAGTTCAGACATCTATTAATCAGATAAAAAACAACGTGAAAAAACGATTGAAGTAACCTTCTGAACATATTCTTATGGTTCAGCTACCAACGGGTAGATGTCGCAACGTGTTTCCATCATTTTAAATCCTTTCACATGTGGAACTATTGTTAGAAAATATATATTTTCTTGCCACAATAGGACTGTGATGATTTGGCACGATCGTTCAAATGGTGGGGCACCCACTTTTCGAGCTTCATGACCTTTCGAATACGTTTTAAAACCATCAAAAAACGCATGGGAGCGCTGACGCCAAGTTTTTTCATCATCCCACTCACCATTTGTGATGGGTCAGTCTCCACCAGAGTTCTCAAATCCTCGTTCTGGATAACTGTAGGTCGACCTCTTCGGGGCTTACCTTCGAGGCTGAAATCTCCGGCGCAAAACTCCGCAAAACAACGTTGAAAAGTGCGTTCATCAATCATTGTCAAATGCCTGGTTTTGCTATACAATAGCTTCTTCAGGAGTATTACTGAAGATACCGTGTTAGGAATCACACGTTAAAAGGTGAGTCCTCGTTAGTCCTTAGCTTGCACAAGTTCCTTAACTTCTGAGAGTTGTATTTCGTATGGGGGCGACAGCTGATTAACGGAAAACAGATATACAGTAGCTTCTTCGGGCGTGTTACTGAAGAGACGTGTTTTGCTATACACTAGTTGCTTCAGGCGTATTACTAATGACACATGTTCTTCAAGCGTGTTGGTAAAAACATGTGTTTTGCTATACAATAGCGTCACGTGTTTTGCTATACAATAGCTTCTTCAGGCATGTTACTGAAGACACGTGATTTGCTATAAAATAGCTTCTTCAGGAGTATTACTGAAGACACGTGTTTCGCTATACAGTAGTTGCTTCAGGCGTATTACTAATGACACATGTTCTTCAAGCGTGTTGGTAAAAACATGTGTTTTGCTATACAATAGCGTCACGTGTTTTGCTATACAATAGCTTCTTCAGGCATGTTACTGAAGACACGTGATTTGCTATAAAATAGCTTCTTCAGGAGTATTACTGAAGACACGTGTTTCGCTATACAGTAGTTGCTTCAGGCGTATTACTAATGACACATGTTCTTCAAGCGTGTTGGTAAAAACATGTGTTTTGCTATACAATAGCTATTAAAAACACGCCTGCAGAAGCTGTTGTACAGCTTCTGCAGGCGTGTTGGATCAACAGTGCTTCTTGATGGGAAAAAAGACCGTTCAAACGAAGCAATGGTTCGAGAATTATCATTACGACTCCGCTTCAATAGAAACAACAATTTAACGTTGATTTGCTGACTTCAAACGTGGTCGTAGAGACACCGATGATGCAGAAGTGGACGTCCAAATGAGGCAGTAACAACAGAAAACAAAAAAATTCCACAAAATCGTTTTGAATGATCGAAAAGTGAAGTTGCGTGAGTTAGCTGATATTGTGAAGAAATCAAAAGTACGTGTTGACTTTATATTGCATGAGCATTTGAGTATGAGGAAGCTCTGTTCAATGTGGGTGCCGCGCGAGCTCACTGTTGATCAAAAACAAGAACGTCTTGATGATTCTGAGCAGTGTTTGGCCATGTTAAAACATAGCAAACCGGACTTTTTGCGTCGATATGTGACACTGGATGACACATGGATCCATCACTTCACTACGGAATCAAAACAATCGTCATCTAAGTAGAGAGCAACTGGTGAACCTCGTCCAAAGTAACCGAGAGCACAACAAGCGGCTGGTAAAGTTATGTCCTCGGTATTTCGGGAAGCGTTTAAAGCCCATAATGGCAGAAAAATGACCCCATTCGAAGAAAAAGGAAGTGCTGCTTTATCAAGACAATGCACAGTGTCACAAACCAATGAAAACGATGGCAAAATTGCATGAAATGGGCTCCCGCTTACGCCATATTCGTTACATTTTGCTCTCAGCTACTACTGTAAACTCCAAAAAAAAATGCTCACCAGGAAGAAATTCCGTTCGAATGAAGGGGTTGCTGCTGAAACAGAGGCCTAACTTGAGACAGGAAATGAATCGTTCTACGAAAGTGGTATTGGAATGGTAGTGTTGCTGTTGTCTTAGATGGAGATGACGTTGATGAGCAAAGCCAATTTTGAAAAAAAAAACAGGTTTTTTCCCGGGAATTTTCAGCCCAGGTGTTATATCTTATTAAGAAGATATGGAATATAGTATATATTACGTATAGGATTGACTGAATTATTACATTTCATTTGTGCATGTGACAAATTACAGCTGTTCATCGTTCAACTCATTGAACCAGACTTTTCGAAAAATATTTCGAAACGGGTTGTCGTGAGTAACTCGGTTCTTTTCTGCTGTCACTGCTGCCAAAGCAATTTGAGTAACCTCAGTGAAAATCTCACAATCAGGTTTTATTCAAATAAGGTATTTTCCAAAAGACTTTGTGCTTCTGAACAAAAATCCCCAGTTATGCCAATCACTGGGCACTGAAACGTACAATAGTGACACCAAGCTACAGTTCATTGTACCTTTTCCCGACGTATCAAATGTTTGTTTACATTTCTCGTTTCTCCATATACTCACCAAAGAAGATCTACCTTTTCAGACGCATCGTGGTTCGATCAGATTCGAAATTGCCGCGTCAAAGTACCGTAACTATGCGGCGATACTTTCTAACCGGTGACAGGTACCACCAGGATTGTTGCCAGCAGAGGCTAAATTCCTGAAATCTGGGTATTTTTCTCGATTTGTTGTGCTTTCTGGTTGTTGCAGAATTTCAGTGCGTTTTTCATCCTACCAGCAGATCACTTTCACCTTCAGAACAATCACCTCTCAGTGTTGAATTTAAGGTGGAAAGAATGATCTAAGAAAATTTACCAAACCACCTTTTCTGATCTTCCACGTTATTTGTGCCAATAACCGATTGAACTGTACTATATAGTTCCTTTCGAAAAAAAATGGTCTCTCTACGACTCCATGAAAAAGTGACAAAGACGGGAGATACTATAAAACTGTGAAACAAATATAATTTTACCGGATCTGAGAAAAACTGTAAAAACTAAAATAGAAGCAGCATATAGTCAATTTACAAACATAGCTGAAAATAATATTATATCTGACAGTTCGACTTACTGGTCTTTCATACGCAGTAAAAAAGAACATTCGCGTATACCTGGAATAATTAATGAAACTTGGTGATGAGGTATTTGATAAGCCTGGGGATATTGTCAATGGATTCGCCAAGAACTTCAGAAGTGTATACTTGTTTTCGGACGTGAAAATTCTCATGATTCTAATTCAGATACATTAAACATCCCTGCCTTGTCTAAAATCGATATTGTTACTGCTTCAAAAAAATTAAGAAATAAACTTACAGCGGGCGTTGACAATGTTCCTAGTCTTGTGATAAAGGACTATATCGACGTTCTCTCTATACCTCTAATAGGAATATTCAACTTAATTTTAACAACTTGGCCTCCCTTGAGCAGTGGATAACGGCTCGAATTTGTCCGATATTAAAAAAGGGGACTCTTACGATATCACAAACTACAGCGCAATTTCAATTTTATGTAACTTTTCTAAACTCTTCAAGATATGTGTGCAAAATGTTATGTATTGCCATATTCAAAAAGTTATTTCTCCTACTCAGTATGGTTTCGTGCAACAAAGATCATGTATGACAAATCTTTCAAGCTTAAGTCAATATCTCTGTACGTATCTGGACAAGCAAAAACAAGTCGATGTTGTTTATTTACACTTTCGAAAAGCCTTCGATCAAATAGACCATTTTGTTCTTCTTAGCAAATTGACAAAATTGGGACTCTCTAACCAACTGCTTACTCTAATTGAATCATATCTAGCTACCAGAAAACAATAAGTCGAATATGAATCTTTCAAATCGGCTCAGTACGTAGTTACATCTGGGGTACCACAAGGTTCCAATCTTGGACCTCTTTTATTTTCTATTTTTCAGACGACCTGAAACTATATAATAAAATCGACGACTGCCAATGTGTACAATATGAAATAGATGTAATCAAACTTTGGTGTAATAATAATCGTCTACAAATGAACGTATCCAAATGTACAATAATATCATTCACAACAAAGAAGCGAACATCAATGTACGATTATTCAATCAACAACACTACAGTCAACCGCGTACACGAGATAAAAGATCTTGGTATAACATACGACAGTAAATTAACATTTACAATAAATATAAGGAATACGACTGCTGATTCAAATAGAATGCTTGGATCCATTTACAGAAATGACAAAAACTTCAAAAGTATTGCCACCTTGAAATTGCCATATTTTGCGTATGCCATGTCTAAGTTAGAGTATGGCTCTGTGTGTCATTGGGTCTTTCAAACAAATGGAAAATTCCAGTGATGTATCACACATTCACCACCATTCAATAATTTCGGTATGATTTTTGGGAAAGTCGAATAATTCATTTTTACTTTTTCTATATGTTTCGCGTTTTTGGATCGGATTTTGCGGATTTCCGCCAGCGATCACGCTATTGTCTTGGCAACACTGGTCACCGGTAAGTACGGCTGATGGCCTACTAGATTCAGTACAACCTGCGCGAGTAGCCATAGCGCCAGAGCGAGTGTGGCAGTGGATTTTTTTGAGAAAACGGACGTGTGAGTGCCCTTATATTGGAAATCTGTTGATACTAATATGTCGCTTCGGTATCCCTTTCTGTCCCGTACCAATATTGTTCTAAACAGTGGAAAATTCAGTGGCGTACAACTGGAGACTGCTATAGTGCGTTAGAACAGAAACCCCACCGAATGGTTCATCCAATATTTACTAATGGTTTTCAGTTGTGGTGCATAGATAGTGTAGTTATTAAATGTCCAGTTTGAAGTGCGAGGTGCTACTCCATTAGTATTCGAGATGTATTTGTTTAGCAGACTTGTTCTACTTTCTTTTACCTCTCTAATAATAAAAGGTGAGTCTAGAAAGCATATCTTGCTTCGATGGTTGTAAATTTCAATCAGGCAATTGGAAAGTTTGCATTATTATTGAATTCTTGTCGCTCATACCTCTTCCAGAGATGATCAGAGTTTTTCGTCAGTGGCATTCGTTAATACCCGTAGTATCATTGAAATTTCAAATACTTTACTCAAATTATTCTGGTCTTAGTGCAAGATATTTCGCAAGATGAATTCGCTCAGCTTCCAAATATCAGTTTCGATAATTCACGCAATTTGGTGAAAGAGATTCTGCGTAGTTGGTGAAAGAGAAAGTGAATACAAGCAAATCCTGTTCATTCTTGAATATTAAGTATGCCAATTCAAGTTATACAAAGTGGTTCGGGAACTGAATCAATGTTCATGAAATTTTGTTTCGATATTTCATTATATCCACGTCACAGAATGGATTTAGAAGGATTTCACAAAGTATTAGACTGAGATATATATATATATATATATATATATATATATATATATATATATTTATAGAATAGAGTTTTGGAAATGCTCTGCAGTATATACAGGCCAAACCGGTGAAAATTTGGCCGTAAGGCTCCGGGAACACGTCTGTTTGGACAAAAAATCTATAATGTGTGAACATCTGCAAGACTCGAAACGCAAGATAAATGAAGATAATCTCAAACTCCTACACACGTGTATGAAAGGGAAAAAATGAATTCATTGGAAGCCATGGGAATCAATAAATAAATTAAAAACACGAAATATATAACCCTAAACGAGCAACTCGATGTATGTAGATCTCCACTCTTGAATTTATAGGTTCGACAACCCCGGTCATTTCTATAATCTTCAATGTTGAATTTTTCAATTTTGGCACCCCTGTTTATTTAATTACCTCCCCATCCAGCTCACCTACAAACTCCCTATATAACCACGTTCATAGATTTCAAATGTATGAGTTAGTTTTTTTCAAGAATATAAGTATATATTGAAGAAGAAATCATGAAACAGAAGTCATGAAACAGAAATTAATTGACGCTCGTTCCAGCATGTTTTGGAGTGTGGTGACCACATAAAAACATTTATTCAGCTTGCAACAAACTACATCGACATGCGAGTTCCATGATAGGTTCCAGTAGAATTGTGTTCCTAAGAACTTCACCATTATAGATGGCTAAATTGACACTTCTTCAAATGAGAGCGGTAAATTCGGAGGTGTTCTATGTTTGCTACAAAACTCTATATATTCCCTCTTATTATGATTAATCATAAGTTTATTTTCAAAGCACCAGTCCTTGAACTCTCTTAGGATTGTGTTGACCTTTTCAGATACTCTTACAGTATCTGACACAGTAATGAAAGTATCATCTGCATACATTAGCACCCTTCCTTGAGATATGTGAATGGGAAGGTCGTTAATGAAAATGAGGAAAATTAGAGGACCGAGTACGCTTCCCTGGGGTGTACCAATATCTGTTTCAAATTCCTCCGAGATGACGTCATCAATCTTAACCATGAACTTTCTTCGTTCGAGGAAGCACACGATCCACTCATTGATTGGGCCGCAGACACCAAGGTTATTCAATTCATCAGATATGAAAGAAAAATCGACCGATTCGAAAGCTCTAGTAGGATCAAAGTGAATTGAGATCACAAATTCGCCAGAGTCCATTTTGTTGTTGTCATATTGAACAAATTCAATCGTGCTTGTTTCAGTTGATAAGCCACTACGGAACCCATGCTGGTTGTCACATAAAACCTGATATGTGTTGAGAAAATTTGTGATCCTATTGGCCATTACTTTCTCTATCAGTTTAGAAAAAATGCTTAGTATTGTATTATTCAGGATTATTCAATCATCTGATATTTGAGTGTAGTGGGATTTTTGTTGTATTCCTTCTGGAGTTCATCCATTTTGTATCTCGTTTCATTCAGCCGGCCATTACCATTTCAAGTTTTTCATTTATTGAAACACGATCGTCAAGAAACATCAATTCTTTTCTTCTCTAAGACGATATCTCAAAATCAAATGAACAAATATCGAATTATTTAATTCATTACGTGAGAAATAATAGCTTCTGATAGAGAATAAGCAAGGTCAGTCAATCAAATTTCATAATTCAGCAATGAAATGGAGTGGATAACCATGAAATATTCAGGCATGCCTTCAGACATAAACAGTAATTTATCCCACATTAATTGTGTATTTCTTCCTCATTTACAGCCATGATTATCAATAAATTCACTCTACACTCAGATACCAAGTGGTTGGTATCTGAGTGTTTGAAATAAATGATTCACTGAAGAGTTTGAAAATGAAATTCATAAACATTAGAACCTAAACTTCAGTGTCACTCTAGCCAATTACCACTTTGTTCCTTTACTTTGACTACTACAGCTGTCATATTTGGACTAAAACTGACTGCTCCCCAAAATTCTGCAGAATTTGAAGTGAACGAAGAATTTTTTTCATCGACGTTTCCCAAATTATTGAATTTTAGAGTTTTCATCCTCGAAATGATGAATTGAGTTTAGTGTATGTTACGTTATCTTATCAGAAAGATCAATTGTTGCTTGTCGGTATGCCAAAACTAATCTACCGTTCTTCCATTAAAGTTAACATCTTCATTTTCTGTAGACATCAACCTGGTGAAACAGGCATCGAGAGTAGTATTGCATTTCTGGTCATTATTTTACTCCAGAGGTCAGTATAGCCAGGAATCCAGACCAAAGACAATCTGTTAAGTCTTCCTATCGACGAGAGTCGTTTTTGGCAAATTAGCAAATTGCGAGATTATTTTTATTGATTTGTGTATGAGGTTGAATTCTTATAATCTCTCTGCACACAATTCAAGAGCGTGAATTTTCGCTTCAAATACAGTCGCAGAGGTTGATATCTCTGTCCTAGGTCTGCGACTGAAGAGACCTGCACCAAAACAGGAAGGTGTTTTTATCCATCTGTGAACCAACAACTATCTGCTCTTAATATTTCCTTCTCCCGGAGGATCCAGTACTGTCTACCCAAGAACAGTACTTCATAAGGCATTTCGTACTTGACAGTTGGTGCTGTGCTGTGACTTTCAGTGTCAAACAGCACTCTATTGCAATCTGCATTGAATTGATTTGTGCAGTTGGCAATGTGCACAAGTCTATATGCAGCCCATCCAGCCTCTCTAAAAAAATGTGGAAAGGAGGTAGATCTAGAAGGATCTCAATGGCCGCTGACTGTGTCATACTGATGGCATCACTGATGGCCAGACAAGCCTGTCTCTGTAAGCCAGAGATCTGGGACCTGAGCCCCAAGTTTTACCACAAATGTTTGTCCATAGGGACAGTCTGGCCTTGTATAAAAATGATACCCAAGTGACTTTTTTATCAAGGACAATGCCAAGATATTTCCCCACGATTCCAAATGGAATGACCTCACCATTGAAGGAAAGTGGCGTTAGATCGTCCAATTTTCTCCTCCTGGTGAAGGAGATTATCACAGTTTTGCTGGGGTTGACAGACAGCTGCTCTCTCCACTGAACCAGTAGACTCAAACGTATCCATCATATTGCGAATATAGGACGATTATGGCGGGATTATGGTGGGACGATTATGGCGGCCGTAAAATTGGCGAAGCATGCGATACGTTGCCCAAAGAGAACACCCGTTTTGATAAAACAATGTTGTTATTGACACGTCTTTATGAATGACAACTAATTTGACAGATGTAGATTCAACCCTGTTGGAAGACCCTGTATTGCATAGTTGACATTTCGTAACTTTTCCTCGCCCACAAAACTCCGTTTCCAAACTCCTTAATCAGTCGATTCACGGAGAATAAAAGGCTTTTATTTCTCTGTTGAACTTTTGGCAATTTGTCGGAAGTAGTTTATATTTTTACTGTTTTGTATTCACGAACAGCAATAAAAGGACATGACATCGTTTCCATTAATTTGTTTCCAGTTCGAATGTAAATAGTCAGATTTTCTCTCCACTCTAGAGCAGTTCGAATTACGGATGTTTCCGAGAGGAATTAACTTCATAAGTTCATTTAAGGAAAGGGGATTATTTTGAATTTCATTATTTAAAATGATTTGATATCCCCGAAAGAACCAATGTAAATGAAAATCAAAAAGAATAGCTGGAAATAACAATCATATTGAGCAAGCAAAAAACACCCTGAAAAGAAATTACAGTGAAATAAAATAAAAGTGGAAAATAGAACAATTGAACAAAGAATATAAATTTCAATTGAAAATTAAGAGACTCCGAGCCAAGTTAGTTCACGATGTTTCAAGTGTTAGTATACAATCGAATACAATCGAACGAATCGTCTCAGGGTGATGACCTAATTTTCTCAGTAACGGTTTTTCGAGGGGTATTGTAGATGATATTATGGGGAAGAGAAAGTTTGAGTTGAGAATGAAGAAAATGTCGGCTTTTAGAAACGACGAAAACCAAGATAAATATATCTCAGTTCCATACCACCAGGTATGAAAGTGGTATTTAAAACAAGTCATATGTGCTACAGAGCATTTTAGGAAATCCAAAGGACGAAGTCAAGTCTGGAATTCATGAAATTGAATATAAGGACTGCGATGCATAAAATCATGGATAGACTGAAAGCTATAAAGAACACTCAGCATACCTAAAATATGGAAGACCAGAAAAACCGGCAGCTGCCCATGTTTAGCAACAAAACCATTCAATAGACTTTAACTCATTAGGATTATTGAGACAAGTTAGCAACAACAGGCATCTAGATACCTATGATAGCTCAGAAATAAGTCAGCACGATTATATTATGAATAACGATGGTGGATCAATACCTCATACTTTACTATAAAGCTTGTTGAAATGATATTTTCAGTTATCAGATTCACCCGACTAGTGGATGAGGCAACATTGTGAAATTAATTTAAAGATAATTAAGACGCAGGTGCCTAGCATAGGAATCTGTGGTATAAATAAAGACAAAATTGTACGTGGATTCAATATATCTTTCTCTTGTTCATAACAACATAAC